ACAACAGTGACCCTCTCCTGTGATTCTTTCAGCCCTGCCTGCCTCATCCAGGACAATGCCAAAGGTCATTGGACAATGCAAAGCAGCATGTGCTCTTTGTAGAGGTCTGTTCAGAAAGACTAGGCACCTTTCTTTCAAAACAGCTCGTTTTCCTAAATCATGTGTATCTTTAAAAACAAATAAGAAGATTGGCTTGATCAGAATAATCTGCTAGAAATATCTGGTGGCAGGAAGGCCACTGATTGGTCAAATGCACTGCTTATTTATCTTTAAGGCCTGGATATAGGCCAGAGTAAGTTTCTATATAGATTTTCTTTCTTTGAACCACGTATCTGAGCTGTATACTCTTAGTAAGCATTGATGATGAAACTATATGAAAGGTGAAGTGAGCTTCTTTCTCAAGACAGGAGAGGAAGTGTACATGCACTTACCTTCCCTCTATGACTCCCTAGAAATAAAACAAAAAAAAGTGCATGATGGGAGGGGGCCAGAAACCAATGTGCTGGGGATTTCAACAAATTTCTAAAAGGTAAAAAGGGAAAGGAGGGGATTAATGATTGAATTGGGCAGAAAATGCCACTGTCTAGAATATCCAAGATGATATGACAATTAGGAACTTGAGGAAAAACAAATTCTAAACCAAAAAGTCACAGACCACACAGGAAGCAAACTACAACCAGGCATGAATATAAGCAGTTAATAGAATGTGAGAAAAGGCAATCCATTTGACATTGGTGCTAGAAATAGCCTCACTTGAGAGACCCAGGGGTTATAACACTGGGTCCATGGAAAATGTCATCCTAGCATACTAACATTGAACAATGTTCATATTGATCACAATAAAGTATATGTGGTATGTTGGTTTGTTTCCATCACTATTTTTTATATTTTAATATAGACTTTAGTTTTTAGATTTATAGAAAAATTGTAAAGATAGTAGAGAGTTCCCTTATTATCAACATCTTTTGGTCCTTTTGTTACGATTAATGAATGAGTATTTATACATTCTCACTAACTAAAGTCCATGCTTTCTGCAGACTTCTTCAGTTTTTCCCTAATGTCTTCTTTTCTTCCAAGACCTTATCCAGGATACAACATTATATTTAGTCTTCCTGTCTCCTTACGCTCCTCTTGACTGTAACAGTTTCCGAGACTTTCCTTGTTTCTGATGACCTTGACAGGTTTGTGGAGCACTGGTCAGGTATTTTATACAATGTCCCTCATTTTGGATTTGTCTGATGTTTTTCTTATGATTAGGCTAGGATTATGGATTTTGGAGGGAAGACCCCAAAGGTAAAGTGCCATTTTTGTCACATCAAATCAAGAGTACATACAATCAATATGACTTATCACTCTTGTTGACCTTGATAACCTGGCTGAGGTAGTGTTTACCAGGCTCCAATGTAAAGTTACACCCCCCCCCCCTTCATACTGTACTGTGAGGAAGGGAGTATATAGGCTTTTACCTTCTAAAATCAACCTATAGATAAAGTAGGGAAGAATTTTTTGTGATTGCAGAAAAGGATGTAAATATTAACAATTTTGTTAGTGATAAAATGTAGCTTACAAAAATGAAAAAGAGAAGAAAGTGGAGGAAGGGGAAGAGGAGCCAATATCTTCATTTTATAGAACAGAAAATCCAGAGATACTCTATTAAAAAGAAATAGAAATTTGAGTCCTTATTTAAAAATGTAAAACTTTAGTTCCAACAGAGACAATAAAGCACTATCATTGCTATGAAGCATTGGGAGGAGAAGGGCAGTATGAGTTATATGTTCATTTTCATACTGTGGACTCAGCTGATATTGCCCACAGTTGGTGAGCCAAGAAGGGAAATATAGAGTGTGGTGGAAGTCAACACCAAATGATCTCACCCACATGAAACCAGAGTTTTCCTCTGCAGAGGGGACTGGAGCTGAGCAAGGAGAAGAAGAAAGGTTGATGCTTTTCACCGAAAGTTCTTTTATACTCTTTGATTTACTACCGTTTGCACAAATAGGGTGGTGTCAAGACTCATATGGGACCACCTAGTATGACCTATTCTGTGTAGCACCCACCTTCAGTGATCCATGCTAACCAGCCAACTGCCTAAACTTCATTCACACAAACCACACCACATGCGGTGTTGTGTTGAGGCAGGAGCCCCACTTCTGAGAGAGTAAAGGGGTAATCTTTTTATATCTTTGATTTGTCAGAAAGGCATTTAAAAAAAAGAACTTCTTTTGTTTCCCTTGGAATAAAGATTAGGAAGATTTCAGTTACAAAAGAGAAATTGGCTGAGAGATGCATCAATTATTTCTGGTTGAAAAGTATCGGCAGTCAGTGGAAATCCTCTGTGTGTTTCCTGTGTTTAGCATTTATACAACATGTTTCAGTTTAAAAGCCCTTTACTGTCATTAGCTAATTACCTCCCAAGGGCTGCAGGGTAGTTAGAGGGAAGACTGGAACCAAGCCAGCTTCTAGAGCTCTAAGATGGACATGTGTCTGTACCAGCCCTGATTCAGGGTGTAGTTGTTTCACCATTTCCCACGCGTGGATCGACAGTTAATGTTTGGTTATTCAATCTCTAAAGTTTTTTTCTAGACTTGCCGTCTTCTCAAGAAGTCCAAGTTATAGAAACAGAAGAGAACTTATTTCAATAGCATCTCTTGTAAGTAAGTGTCTTGAAAACAGTTAAACATTGGTTTTAGGTTTTAGGTTCATCATTAAATCAGAATCCAAAAGTGAGGCCTGAGTATTGGCACTTATTAAAAGTGCCCTGGATGATTCCAGAGTACAGCCAGGCTTGAGAAGCACTAACTTAAATGGCCAATAACGGCTTCTCCCACTACCCCCAACAATAACTATATCTATAAAGAGAATGAAATACAATATTTGACTAAGGAAAACTTTTTATAAACACCAATTGTTAATAAATATTACACCTTTTTTTGTATCAGATACATATTTTACATTTTAAAAGTGCGCAGGAAATTTGGAGAATGTAAAAGTAAATATGAAGGCTATGTGTCATAAAAAGTCATCACAAAAAGAATCACTGTGTATGTTATGGAATTTTTCTTCCCATTTTATCTTTATGCTTAGTCTTTTTAAAAAGTTATTGACATAGCTATTAGCAGAATCCATATACAATTTTGTATCTTGTTTTTCAAATTTATCATTATAATATGCGTTTTCCGTTGTTTCTTGCTTTAAAAGTCATCTCTAAAACCAAAATCTAGTGAAATGAGGCAAACGGGAAAATTTATATCCCCAAATGAACCAAATTAGAAATCCAGGTACCTGTAGAGCACAGGCCCTCAGGAATATTCTCCACCCCTGTATCTATTTAAAACACTTCAGACCAACAGGAACTGGAACATGTGCTCAATTTCTGTAGCCAAATCTTGACTATATTTGGTGTGTGGTGCCCTCTACTGGCTATGCTGGGACTGTGTCTTTTTTTCTATTTGTAAATTAAATGGGGTAAGGACTCTTGAAGGGGGTTAGATTGTATGTGTGCATGTTTGAATTTTGTATGTCTATATTTTTATTTTTTATTTTTTAAAGATCTTATTTTTCCTTTTTCTCACCAAAGCCCCCCGGTACATAGTTGTATATTTTCAGTTGTGGGTCCTTCTAGTTGTGGCATGTGGGATGCCACCTCAGCATGGCTTGATGAGCAGTGCCATGTCTGTGCCCAGGATCTGAACCAGCAAAACCCTGAGCCGCCGAAGCAGAGCATGCAAACTTAACCTCTTGGCCACGGGGCCAGCCCCATGTATTTTTATTTATGTGTTGCCTTAATGTAGAATGAGGCTATCTAAATACAGAAGCTGACTGTGGGTCTGTTTCCTTTTTATTCGTTCAACAAACATTTTTAAAGAATCTACCACGTGCCAGGTATGGTGCTAGGGGCTGGAAACACAAAGATGAAATCTCCACTTTGTTGTGGCTCATTATCTAGTGGGAGAAACCCAGCCAGACGGGATGACTTACTTAACAAGCTGTGGCTATTCCAGCAGAAGAACTTGACTGTTTGTGGATCCTGGTCCTCCTCTGTCCAGGAAGATCATCCTCTTCAAGGAAGTGTGCAGCTTTGGGAGAGACACATGTGGCAGATCTACCAAATTGATTCTGGCAATCAGCAGGGTTGACAGATGTCGCAGAGAGCTTGCTCTCAATTTACTTAGTAAATTAAAATTTATGATGGACTATAACATATTAATAAGATAAAATGAGTGGCAATAATTCAGCTATTTAATTGAACCCCTATAAGGGAATAAATATAATTTTCTAGAAATATATACTTTATACAACATGTACCCAAAGAAGAGAGGTAACTATTACATTTTGAAAGCACCTTCCTATTTGGAATTTTACCTTGTTTTTGGGGAAGGAAATGCACATACAATGAGTTGGGCTTTCCTAATCTGAGGAAGGTCTAAAGCACAGGGCAGAAGGGGGGTCACTGAAGCATCCATAATCACGTCTTCTGGTCTGTAGTCTCTTTGGCCACATTATGTACAATTATGCAAGATGATCTATAGATTAGCGAAGTCATTTTTTTTAACCTGAGGACCCTGGTGATGATATTGGATTTACAAGGTTGGCTCCATACACCAAAAACCTAAGTATGACTATATAATATTTATCATAAACCTGGAACCAGCAATTACCGGTTGTGTGGTCTTGGATGAGTAACTTAACTTTCTCTTTAATTTTCCTCATTTAGAAAAGGATACAACGTACCTTTCCGTAAGGATTAGAAATAAAGCATGTAAAGTGTCCATCAAAATTCTTGGCACACAATAAGGGCTGGCCCTGTGGTGTAGTGGATCAGTTGGCACACTCTGCTTCGATGGCCCAGGATTTGCAGTTTCAGATCCTGGGCACAGACCTAGCACTGCTTGTCAAGCCACGCTGTGGCAGCATCCCACATAAAACAGAGGAAGATTGGCATAGATGTTAGCTCAGCAACAATCTTCCTCCAGCACAAAGAGGAAGATTGGCAACAGATGCTAGCTCAGGGCCAATCTTCCTCACACAAAATTCCTGGCACACAACAGCTGCTCAGTGGAGCACAGTAGGTACTTCAGAATGATAGAGATGCAAGCTTGGGCTCTGGAACCAGGCTGCCTGGGTTTGAATTTTGGCTCTACTCTTTTCTTAGCTGTGTGACCTTGGGCAAGTAACTTTACCTCTCTACGTCTCAGTTTCTGTATCATTAAAATAGGGGTGATAGTACCTACATCATAGGATCATTGGGCAAAAAAAATGAGTTAATATGTATAAAGTGCTTTGGAACATTTATTAATATATAGGACTTAATAAAAGTTAGTTATTATTTTAATTGTTATTCTTTTTAGCTTTTAGAGACACCTGCATCTTTTTGAAGTTGCATATTAAAATCAGGGAGCGGCATCTTCCCATATGTATAAAACACACCCATTCAGCACTGTCACACCAGCTGTTTTCAGCAGATTTCCATTGCTGTGGCTCTGTAATCACCTCTCCTTTGATGAGTCCTCAGAATCCTCAGTAGGAATAACTTTGTTTATGTTAAGTAGCTGCTTTGCTATGAGATTCTTGGTTCTTGACTTCCCTCTCTAAGAATTTATGAATTCCCTAAAGAACATGGGAGAAAGAATTATTTGGAACAAATTAGGAAAGCATTGTGAAATCAGGATCCCCTTTGTAACCCCAGTGTCACTTACTCTCCAAAATAGTTGTAGGATGCTGTGGTTTTGTACAGATGAAGCTCTGGTACTCAATTTCAGTCCGATGAAGTTTTTCATTAGTGGCAATTTAGCTAATGCTTCTCTCCCTTAATATATAGTGATGACAGGCTACACATACAGGCTATACTAAAGGGGTACAAAGAAGGAGTATCAACAAGAAGCTGGACAAAGATACAACTAACTATCTCACTAATTATAACAAGAATCCAACTGTGATAACTGTTATTAAGATACCATAGAGGGAAGAGGATTCTGATTAAGAGCTTAGGGAGAGGTTTAAAAGAGGCAACATTGGTGCTGGCCCCGTGGCCGAGTGGTTAAGTTCGCATGCTCCGCTCCAGGCAGCCCAGTGTTTCGTTGGTTCAAGTCCTGGGTGTGGACATGGCACTGCTCATCAAACCATGCTGAGGCAGCGTCCCACATACCACAACTAGAAGGACCCACAACGAAGAATATACAACTATGTACCGGGGGGGCTTTGGGGAGAAAAAGGAAAAAATAAAATCTTTAAAAAAAAAAAAAAGAGGCAACATTGTGGCCAGCCCCGTGACAAGTGGTTGGGTTCGCGCACTCCACTTTGGCTGGCCTAGGGTTTCGGCAATTCCGATCCTAGGCACAGACCTTGCACAGCTCATCAGGCCATGCTGAGGTGGTGTCCCACATAATACAACCAGAAGGACCTACAACTAGAATATACAACTATGTACTGGGGGGCTTTGGGGAGAAGAAGAAGAAGAAGAAGAAAAAAAAGATTGGCAACAGATGTTAGCTCAGGTGCCAATCTAGGAAAAAAAAAAAAGAGGCAACGTTGATAATGAACCTTGAGGAATGGCCGAGGAGGAGAAGAAACACAATAGAAGCAGAGAGAACAAAATTAAGAAAGGCATTGAAATGGGCAAATACCTGGCTTGTTTGGGGGAACAGCAGATGGTCCTGTGTCGTTGGAGCAGAAGGTCTGTAGGCAGAGGGTTACGAGATGAGGAACAGCGGTCCCTGGGTCCTCAGGGAGGCCACTCGCCAAGCTCTTCTCAAGTCCGGGGGAGTGGATGTTGGGGCTTCTTTGACAAGTCCCTCAGGATTAGGCCCTGGGCGGACCCCTCATTTCTTCCTTTTCCTTCATTCTTCTCTGAGCCTCAGCTCACACATCCTTTTTACCTCTGCACTTAAAAAACCCTATTCTATTTTCCAATAGACTTTGCTGGTCTGGCATTTACTAACCTGCCACCTATTATGAAATATATGGAAGATGACATGGCTTAAGACTTTGCACAAACCATTGGCCCCTCAGGGTAAAAATCTGAGCCTAACAAAAAGGCAACAGGCTGGATAGCCTGGCTAGACTGTAGGGAGTAGAAAAGAGCTTACAATGAAGTCAGAAAACCATGTTTGGCACATAGTTGGTGCTCTATGAATATTGGTTCAGTATATGAATTGAGGGACAGCTTGGTAAACCCTCAGGTACTCTGAGGTGTCTCTGGGGTCTGGCCATCTGCCGCAGTAAGAACACTTCCTATCTAGGAAACAGGAAGGAAGAGGAGAAGAGAGCTGTGTCTGTCTTCCGGCTCTCCATGTGTTTGTGCCGAGGCCAGCTTTCTTCTGGAGTTAGGAGTTCTTTGTCTGGCAGTTTTCTCTCAGGGGAGAGAAGGGTGTGTGCGTGTGTATGCACATGACGCACAAATGTAGTGACCCAATGTTTATTTCCTTCCAGTCATGCCAAGACCTGAAAATCTCAGGTTACAAAAGAGTTCCTTTGCCAAAAGGTAAATGGGAGGGAAAACAATGATGAGAAAAATTTTAAAAAGGTCAGGGAGAGCTCAGTTTTACTTGGTAAATGTAAGCACTTGGCACTTAGGATACAAAGAAGACTTGGTTCTAATCTCAATGAGCTTTAAAAGTGGAAGGACAGAAATCTATACAAAGAATTTAATGCAGGGGAGATAGTGCCACACAGAGGTTAGCCCAGGAACTCAGAGGAGGAGGGGCTTTTGCTAGAGCCCAGAGCCTTGCTACTTCAAGTGTAGTTGGACCAGCAGCAGCAGCATCTCCTGGAAACTCATGAGAAATGCAGACTTTCTGGCTCCAGCCCAGACTGACTGAATGTGAGTCTGAGTTTTAACGAGATCCCTAGATGAATCATGTGCACATTAAGATTTGAGAAGTACTGGCTTAGGGGGCAGACATGGGATCTGGGAATGTTTCTAAGAGGAAGTAAATCCTGAGTTGTGTTTTGAGGATGAGTAGGGTCAACCAGGTGGTGTTCCAAGCACAGGGAAAAACATAAGCACAAGTTCAGTGGCGTGAAAAAGCATAGGAGTGTTTGGGGAACTGCAAGTAGCTTAAATTGCCCATCAAAAGGGAGAGTGTGGGAGAGAGAAGGAGGGAGAAACAGAGGAAGATGGTAGGTCAGGCAGCGGCCAGATGCTGCTGGGTGTGTTCTATCTAGGTTAAGGAGCTTTGCCTTGACTGAGTCCATGATAGAGACACATGTTGACATGTTCAGATTTGCATTTAGATCCCTGCAGCCCAGAGGAGCCTGAGAATGTCAAGGCCAAAGGGCAGAGAAATTAATCAGGCAGCTACCCCAATAGTTTGAGAGAGAGGCTGCTGAGGAGGGGACAGGTCTAATAAATTTTAGGAGGTAATAAGCATATGAAAGACTTCAGTACTGATGGGGGTGGGAGGGTGAGGGAGGACTGAGTTTGGACTAGATGAGTTGCAGGCTTCCGGCTGGGATTAGTGGTGGTTGCTCATCATGCCACTAACAGAGACGAACAAATAAATGAAGATGAGCAGGTCTGAGGAGGGAAATTATGAGTTCAGTTTTCAACATGTTCAGCTCAGGCAAATAGAAAACATGTATAGGAGAGAAAAAGAAAAAAACAAGAAAAGGGTGGAGAACTGAGTGAATCAATCAGGGTGGAGAAGCAAAGTCATGAAAAAGAAACAATGCCTTGTCCAACTTTGGGGCTACAGCAATGCACGCGGTATATCTGTGAGTTTTTCCTCCAGTCCTATTTCAGGAAGCTGCCTTCTTGGAACTTGGTTCCAGCAACTGGTTGGACCTGGAAGAAGAGCAAATGGTTTGATTCATAGTTTCCTATCCTGTGATCAACTCATTGTTGACACCATTTGCTCTATGGAAAAAATCTTTTTAACCTGGAGTTCAAGGTGCTCCAGGGTCAGAATGACCAAACAGTTGTCTTTTTCCATATTGCCCCGTGGGTATAACTTTGTCCATTGTCCCCAACACTATCTCCAAACTGGCAATAATACAATGTCAACACATGTGTGTGTTTGTGGGTGACCGTCATCCTTCAAGTTCTGGACGACACCTGCCACAAATCTTCCCTGCCTGTGAACTTTTACAACACTTCTATTTTGCACCTTAAAATTCAGAACTTGATAATAGCCTGTCTTGCATCATTCCCGTAATTATTTCCTATTTAGCAATCTCTTCTTCTCTGATCACAGAGTTCTAAAAAACGTCCCGGACTTTTGTGTCTCCACGGCAGAAACTCTAAAGTTCTTTAACATTTTCTGACCAGTCATCAGCAGCCAATAAAAAGCAAAAGGTCGGCACGTGGTTTATTAGTTTGGGCAGGAGGAAGGTATTCTAACTGGATCCTTTCGCTCTTGCCAGGATCAAACATGGCGAGCCGCAGCCAGATCTTCCAGAACGCCCCGCTCGCTTTCCCGCAACCCCAGCCAGTCTTTGCCGCTCTTTTTTTTTTTTTACCTTCCTTCCTCCTCCGCGGCTCCCAGAGGGTCAGCACCTGGGAGCCTGACAGCGGACCGGCTTCCCGCCCCCACCCGAGGGCCCGCCCACCAGCCCGCGCCAGCCAATCGCAGGCCGCGCTGCGGCGGCTGGCAGCGCCGGCGGGCCCCGCCCCCCAACCTAGCTGTGGCCTGCGGCTCCCGGGCCGGTAGCGCCGCTGTCGGTCGCGCGGACCGCTCGTGTGGAACCGCGGGTCTCGGGCGCTCGCCGCCGGCTATAGCTCAGCCCAGCGCCGCCGAGGCCGTCGGCCACAGCCTCCGTCATGGACTTCGAGGACGGTAAGCGCCGCCTCTGGCTGGTCGCCACGGCGGGCGGGAGGCGGGGTGGCCTGCGCCGGGGGTCTGTTTACCGTCTCAAGATGGCCGTGTGGGCTTTGTTCTGCGGGCCTGGAGGCCGCCGCCCGCCGCGGGCCCAGGACCCGGCCTCGGCCTCTGTGGGGAGCCGCGCGCCGCGAGCCTGGCGCTCGCCCGCCGCCCGTGCCGGCGGGGACCCGGGAGTTCGTGCCGGCCTCGCTGCGGGGACGGGCGCGCCCAGAGCGCGACGGCCTCCGGACTCGGGCCCGGACTCGCCCGGCCCCGCTGCGTGGAAAATGCCCCGACGCCTCCAACTTCCCGTCCCGGGCCGAGGGGCGAGCGGGGCCTCCGCCGCCGCGTGTGCCTGCGCCCCCGGGGCGGCACCCGGACCGTCCGTGTAGTCAACCCCGGCTTCCTTCTTGCCAGGTGGAATTTTCAGAGGCTGTGCACAGTGATGTTTCTGGTTGTCTTAGTTTAAGATGAGTTTAAAGGGCGTCTGTAAGTGGTAAGTGTCTCTACCGATATCCACGCAGAATGGGAAGTGAGATACTTCTGGTTAGCAAACTGGGATATTTATCCACCAGAATGACCTGGTCGTTAATCCCTAATTTGAAACACTTCTGTGAACCAGAGCATTTTTCTCGGGATTGTGTACGGACGGGACTTTAGTCCGAATTCTGGCACAGCATCACGTGCCCTTCAAATTCAGACCTGTACGCAACTGCCTGGGTTGGATTTAGGGATTAAATAAACTGTATTTTAGCCATCCCTTTCAGACGTGTCTCACACCAGTTCTTTAAAGCATTTTCACAGGCTCACAAAGTAAGATTAATTTGATCTTCACCTTGTCTTCAGATCTTGCCCAACTTTTCTAGGAATTGGTGTCGAAATAAAATGAGGATGTAGTGACAGCATTAGGGAGACGCGAAAAGGGGCTTGAACGGTTAAATTGGACTTAATCCTGAGTAACTAGGCATTTCTAAGTAAAACCAGTTCACTAACTAGTTGTAAGCCTCTAATCCAACCAAAACAATTATCTTTAACGTTGAAAGTGGTGTGATCTCAGCATGTGAGTCTTACTAAATGGTCTTTGATCTTTGGTTTGATTCATGCCACAAAGAGTTGCCAAATCTAAGTATGTGAAAGGGGACTGAATAACCCTTTTGTGGATACTTTTAAGTTACTTTGAAATAGGAAGTTCAGATGTTAACAGTAGCGCACTGGTGATTTTGTTTGTTTTAGTTGGACTTTGACTCATTTTGATAGATACTTTTAAACTCTGAGTACGTATTTGAAGTGCCAGAGTTGGGACTGAAATTTCAAAATATATTGTTGTGTTTTCATGTCAAAGTTCGATGCCAGTTCCACCGCTCAGGGTACAGCAGAAGCTACCAAGGTTGGAGGGGAGGCGTGGGACTGGTCCCCTTGCCCCATAAGGGAATGCATTTTCTGTAGTGAATTGAAAAATGATAATAAAACTTAGTAAGTTTGCTTTTTATTATCACCATGTGCCTACAGTTCTAAACAGTGTCAGTGATAAAATTCTAAACAATGTCAGTAATAAAATACTCCCTCTCTCAGGCCCTCCCTCACCTCCACTGCTGTATTTGGGGGATGGAATTTGACTAATAGTATATCTGAGTCTAGTCCTGTGTAGTGTAGCTGAATTCTCCTGTATCCAGATAACCACTGCATTAAATTCCATTCTCTCAGTATTTATTAATAAAATTAAGTAAAGGATTTAACAGTTGCTAAATTACTTTTGACAGGGAAATTGCCAATATGGTTTTCAGTTGTACCACATCCTGGATGGATACAGCACACACGCACATATACATATATGCGTATACATTTCTCACATAAGATCTTGAAATCTTTAGAGAGCAGGTTAAGTGGTAAAAGAAATAACTTTGAAAAATTTATATGTTACATAGAATCAATTCTCATATGTTCCTGCTTTTTGCATTGTTTGATTCATAATTTAACCATCTGCCTCCTCTTCTGTTACTCTGTATAAATAAGTACTGGATCCCCTCTTTTGGCTTTACTATATATCAGGTGTTATAAGCTAAGTTTTACATTACCATAATTAGGATGATAAACCTGCCATTTGGGGAGAGAGGGAAGGGAAAGAGATATATGTTTTCCCATATTAAATATTTATAATTATACCCCATTTTTGCAGAAAATTGAGTTAATGACATTTTAAAAAATCAAGTTTATTTTAAAGAGATGGGTATATAATTTCAGATTTTTGCCAATACTGTACTAATTCCTTTTTGTAAAATGTGTCTTCATAGATTACACGCACAGGAGTACTTACCAGGGCTTTAATGGTGAGTATCTTCTTTCATTTGCTCTTAAATATGTTGAGGGAATGCATGTCAGTTTTTCTCTTGATACACGTAAACTACCAGTGTAAAAAGTCAGTTCTGCCTCATTTCAGTTGTTGTTTTCTCTCTCGGTGTATCACTTCTCAGTGTTAATGTTGTCATACTATATATAGTATTTGAATTAAGGAATTTGGGATCACAAAAAGTTAGAGCTGTTCGGATTAGTTTGACTCTGTTTTGTTTGAATTGTGATTCCTTATTTTTTTCCAAAAGGCCTTGACTACATTCTGAGTGTTTAGTTAAAAGAAACTAGCTGAGTTATTTTTGTTGAATTAGAGGCTTTGGTATTGAGTAATGTAGATTAAGTGGATTATTGCCTTCATTCTATATGGCTTCTACTGTAATGCATTTTGACCTTGTTTTTGAGGTCATTTGCTTTAATGTGTCCAGATGTGTTAGTGTATAAAGAGCTGTCTAGAGGAACACATAAAGAAAGCTGATTATTTATTGACATAAGCATGACATTAGAGTTGTGACTACAGAGCTGGATAAGATCTTGAGAGGTATGCAGAATACAATGGATGTCGTTTTAATAGTTGTTAGAGTAAGGCTCTGCCAGACAGGATGATAACACAAAAAAGAATGTGGGATAATTCAGAGAGGTTAAAAAGCATCATGTGATGCACCCCAGGGAGTGGAATTAAATATCCTGATTGCCAGAGAAATGCAAAATTCAACTGTTGTACCGAACATAATATGTTTACAAAATAAAACTGAAGCAAACGTACTGCTAAATAAAGAAGACTATGCTATTTTATGGGAATAATTACCATCCAGTTAATGTCTGTTTATCATATCTAAGAGTTTAGGGAAACTGTGATTTGATGTGGGCTAAAAAGGCTCAACATATATTAAGTAATCAATATATATTGAGTGCTAAAGAATATATTTTTGAGCAGGAGAGTGACATAATAAAATTACCAAAGGAATTTTAATTTACATCCACATGTCAGTTAGATAGAAAACTGGAAAATTAGCTAGAAAGCTATTTCATAAATTTAGGTATAGGATTTTAAGACTCAACTTGGGAGGTAATAATAGTTTTTAAAATATTAAGGTGTTTCTAGAGAAAATTAGCAGAACTTGCAGGCTGACTAGTAGTGAGTAGGAAATTGAGAGGGATGAATAAAAATGAATCTAGGATTTTAAGCTGGAGCGAGTAGGACTAGTGCTTTTACCAGAGAGAGATTTGGAGTGAAGGCCGTGATCTCCAGTAGGATTTGCTAGAGAGTTGGATTTAATGTCTAAATATAAGACTTTGAAATGCAGAATCATACAGGGCCAGAAGTTTATTTTCTTAATGTACAGTGTTGTAAAAAGAGCTTCAGAATTTCTATCACTAATGTTAGGACTTTTGTTTTTTCTCTTAATTTTAGTTCCAACAGTGATTTTCATCTGAGGGTGAGATTGTTAGACTCCCTTAGGGGAGCTTTTTCAAAGCATTTCTGTTCAGGTCATACTCTAGTTTTCTTGAGTCATAATTTTAGAGCAAGTGGTCCCTGGCTCTGTATGTTATGAAAAGTACTTTCAATGATTTTGGAATGTGCCTCTGGTTAAAGACCACTGCTTGACAACACTTTGAGGTCTACATTTTATAAATGAGGAACTTAATTTTCAAGGATATAATTTGACTTCATCCCTTCAACAAATATTTATTGAGTGACTACTGTGTATCATATTCTTCTAGGAGCTAACAATACAGCAGTGAACAAAATGGACAAATATTCGTCCCCTTGTGGAGTTTACAGTCTAGTGGGATGAAATAGACAGTAAACATGATAAAGAAGTAACATATTGTATGTTAGATGGTAATTGCTGGGGAGAAAAATAATGCAGGGAAGTGTGACATCTGTGTGTGTATGTGTTAAATTTTAAAGAGAGTAGCTGGGGAAGGACTCACTAAGAAGGTGACATTTGAGCATAGATTTAGAGGAGGTGAGGATGCAAGCCATGAAGCTATCTAGAGGAAGAATGCTGTAGGCTTTAGGAAATTAATTACCAAATGAAGCCAATGGTACAATTCACTGTTAGCATTGTATTTTCCAGCAACTGGAATGAAGTAGAAGGCATTGGAAAACGTGGCAAGATAGAGATTTCCTCCACACCATTTCTTGGAAGGAAGTTGTATTTCCCGTGTCTCCATGTTTCTTTATTACTCCATGATACCTCTTCTTATATAAACAGCAGACCAAAAAAGCAAGAGCATTCCAGATAGAGAGAAAGCAGGAGCAAAGATAGGGCTGAGTGAATTGTGCTTCAGAGCAAGTTAACAAGATTGGCTTGACTAGAACAGATGATTTTTGCTGAGCAGTCTTAAAAGGCAAAGTTAGGGTGGTGAGGTTCAGCCAGAAGGCAATGAAAACCAAATTCCTTATATCTAAGGAGCAATAGAAAGTGGAGACCTGAAAGAGTTGAGGGCGTGAGCAGTGCAGATAAAGGGGAAGAGCTTTCCAGGTAGAGGGATCAGCAGGTGCAAAAATGGGCGTACGCCTGTTTTATAAGAGCAGCAAGGGGCCTAGAATAGCCGGAGTGGAGTGAACTAGGGGTATAGTAGACGATGAAGTTAAGATGTTGTGGGGTGGATCGGATGGGGCAAGGTTTTTCAACTTAAGTAGTATTGACATTTTGGACTAGATAATTATTTGTTGTAGGGGGATGCCCTGTATATTGTAGAATGTTTAGCAGCATCCTTGGCCTCTACGCACTAGATGAGAGTAGCACCCACCCTTCAGCTGTGACAACCAAAAATGTTTTCAGATACTGCCAAATGTCACCTGGGGAGCAAAATTGCTCCTGGTTAAGAACCACTGGTGTAGGGCCTTACAAGTTATTTTAAGGCTTTGGCTTTTATTTGAAATAGGATGGGAAGCCATTGGAAGGTACTGAGCATTGAAGATCATTTAAGTTATATTTTAACAGAATTATTCTGGCTATTTTCTTCCGAATTAAACAGAAAGGGAGCAAAAGTGGAAGCAGGAAAACCAGTTAGGAGGCTGTTGCAGTAAACTAGGTGAGAGATGCTGGTGGCCTGCACTGGGATGCTAGCAATGTGGAGGTGGTGCAAAGTGGTCCCATTCCAGACTTAGTGTCACATATATAGTCATGCACCGCTTGATGACATTTTGGTCAATGACCGACTGCACATACAACAGTGGTCCCGTAAGATTAGTACCAGAGAGCCTAGGTGGTATAGCGGGCTATACCAACTAGGTTTCTGTTAAGTACACTCTGATATTTGCATAACAATGAAATCACCTGAAGATGCATTTCTCAGAACTTATCGTTGTTAAGTGATCTATGACTGTAGCTATTTTGATCAAACATCAGTTGTTTTTTCCTTCTACTGCACAGCCCCTTTCTTGTGATTTAATTGTAAATGAGTTTGAACATTTGTTGAGCCTATCATTTATATGATAGAGTGATCAGTGATAGAATAGATTTGATTTAAAATGTTAGGTCAGTTTTATTTTTGAGTGAATTACTTTCTCATTTTATATTAATAGTAAAGACATAATGTTATATTGTTGCAGTTTTATTTTTAAAGTGATTTTTAAATTATTTGATAACCTGAAAGAATATTGTTTATATATAGTCATCTTATAAAATCTATATTCCTTTAATCACACTGATTCTATACCATATAAAGACTTTTCCTCTTTTCTTTTTTACTTAACTGAATAGTAATAGTACTGTGAACAATAAACCAAAGTCATTGCTCTATAAAAGTAGTTCTGTTAATTTTTGTGTACTCCACAGTACCTGGCACAAGGTGAATATTCAATAAATGGTAATTTATGACTTCATAGTGAAATAAAAACAGAATCAAAAAACTAAAGGACTTATTATCCAGAAGCAGTCTCTGCTAACTCAAAATAGAAACTAGGAGAACAACATGTAGGGTTTTTTAGCTTCGTGTACCTGACTCAACCTAATGCTAAGATTATTTTTTAATACGTGGTCTTAGAGGGAAGCTTTTTATTTTGAAAATTTGATTATAATCTCAAAATTTTCCTTTTGTGAGAGATACGAGAATAAATTGTATTGTATACCTACCAACTCTAAAGACAAGTAATTGACTATTTTTTTAGTCTAGAACTGTGTTGTCTAATATGGTAACCACTAGCCACATGTGGCTATTGAGCACTTGTGGCATGGATAGTCTGAATTGAAATGAAAAAGCAATGTAACATATCTCATTAACACTTTTTGTATATTGATAAACTTTTTATACTCTGTTATGTTAAAATCTGTTGGTATATCTTTCACTTTGAGTGGATCTTTTTACCCCTTTGATTCTGTAATATCAGGCATTAGTTATTTGGATAATGTTGGTTTACTGAGTTATTTAGATTTCCCAAATATTGACAGATTTTATTATACAGTATTAAAAAATTACATTCATTAATAACACTACCAGTGTTATCAAAAAAGCCTTTAAGTATTGAGAAGCTGTCAAGCTTGAGATGGTAGATACAAGTTTCATAAAATTCTAGTTTTCATTTGAAAGCTTGAATTTTATCATTGGCAACAAATAGTGTCACTTGGTTTCCTTGAAGTGACAGTATCATTTTGTTCGTTTTTGAGAAAATGTCTGTCAAATGCCCAAGTCTGAAAGCCATAGTTTTTGAATGTTAGTCTTTCTTTCTAGTAAAAGTAGTATTCCTTGTAAAAAGTGATTAATTCAGTTCATTAACCAAACACTTGTACAATACCTTTTCCTGGAGAGAGCTATGATACTTTAATATGCAGCAAAATACTTTATATGTGCTTCCCTTTTCACTGCACAGAATATCAGAAAGTGTACTCGAAGATCATGATTTAATAAAATTAATAAATTCTTACTGCTTTATCAGGGACATTCTTAAGTGAAGATGGCATTTTTATTTTATGATTTTTTACTGCAAGAATGCAGTGTTGAAGAATGCAATGACTACTAGTACAGTTTGGTGTCACTGCCTTGATTTATGCTATGGCACCTGCAGTTTTACCCACCAGTGCTTTTGCATCTTCGATGCAAATGTCAACACTGTGAAAAAGGCAAATAATAAATAATGTCTTAGTATTTATGAAAATCGTTTGACCTTGTAGACACCCTGAAAGGCTTTTAGCAACTCTCGGTGGTCAGGAGACTGTTCCTTGAGAATGGCTGCTCTAGGGTATATAAAAAATAACTAAAAATCAGACCTTGACTGCAAAACTTGTGTACATTTAAGATGAGGCCACAAATAGCAGAATATAAGGCAGAGGATCATAAATACCACGTAAGAGCTACAGACTTGGAGACCGGCCCCTTGGCCAAGTGGTTGAGTTCACGAGCTCCGCTTCAGTGGCCTGGGGTTCTGCTGGTTCGGATCCTGGGCGAGGACATGGCACCGCTCATTAGGACATGCTGAGGTGGCATCCCACATGCCACAATTAGAAGGACCCACGACTAAAAATATACAGCTATGTACTGGGGGACTTTGGGGAGAAAAAAGAAAAATAAAATCTTTTTTTTTTTTGAGGAAATTTAGCCATGAGCTAACATCTGCCACCAATCCTCCTCTTTTTGCTGAGAAAGACTGGCCCTGAGCTAACATCTGTGCCCATCTTCCTCTACTTTATATGTGGGATGCCTGCCACAGCATGGCTTGCCAAGCAGTGCCATGTCCGCACCCGGGATCGGAACCGGTGAACCCCGGGCCGCTGAAGCGGAATGTGCGAACTTAACCGCTGTGCCATCCAGGCCAGCCCCTAAAATCTTAAAGAAAAACTAAAAAAAAACTGCAGACTTGTAGATATTCAGAAGAAAGATGATTATCAGCTGAGACAATATCAATAAAAATATTCTTGAAAGGATGAGTAGTTGAAATGGACTTTAAAAGATTAGAAGATTTCAATAAGCGGACATCTGGGGTGATAGAGGAGAGTGTTTCATGTAGAAGCAGCAGCATGAAGCTAGAGGTGTAGATAATGATGGGATTTTGGGAAAATCATTTCATCTCTTTGGACTTTAGTTCCTAATCTATAAAACGATAAGACTGAATTTGATCACATAGGTCGCTTCCAGGTTTAAAGTTGCAAGACTCCAAGTAGTATTTTTATAAAATTGTTGCTATTGTCATTATTATTGTTGTTATTAGGACCAGATATATTTAAATAATTGTAATTAAAATTGAGTGTTTTGAAAAATATAAATTTAGGTGTTCACTCTGTATATACTATTGTATTTATTTGTGCCTAAAATTTGGGGAGGGTGGTAATGAAGGATTTTAAAAGACCTTCTAGGAAACACATTGTAAAAGCTTTTAAATTTTTTTCATTTTTATAATCATAGTAAATTCATTATATTACCTCTTTTGTTGTATTTTATTTTCATGTTGGAGGTTGGGATATAGGTGGAATTGCAGTGTAATAAAATATACTTAGTATCCTTACTCTATTAGAATTGTTTTTAGTGTTTGCATTGCTAAAATTCACATTCATTTTCTTTATTAAAAGTATTTGAGGATTTAAATATTCATTAAATCTTTATTTACAGGCACAGTACCACAGATTGGTGCCACTCTGTGATTTTACTTTTTAAAAATATGTGTTTCAGTTACTGTCTGAAAATGTGGCTGCTTCTGAATTTTAGACATTTTGAGAACAGTTAGATGCCGAAAACTATACTTATAACAAAAATTTTCCTTTTTGACATTATTAAATGCTGACTTTCTTGAGAATGGGAATTATTTGTTATTAATTATTTACCCATTAATAACTAATACAGGGCTTTATAGTATTTCCCTAGTCAAATAAATATTGGTTAAATTGAAAATAATTCTAATATAGAACTTTTTAGTTGATAATGTTTTTCTTTGAAACATTAGGTTTCGTTCACAAATCTGCGTTTTCAGTAGATTATCATCTGTATGTTTTTTTCCTTCAATGTCTAGTGTGGATTTGGCTTAAATATTAATGACAAATTATTATATCAGATGATTGATATAAATATCTCATGTTTTATGCAAAGATTCCTGGAGAGAATGATCTATCTTACCGACCTTTTGTTTTTGACTGTCTTTTAGGAATGGATCGTGACTATGGCCCTGGATCTTATGGAGGTCTGACATTCAAGGATATTTATCTAAAAATTCTTCTTTTGAGTGCCAGTAAAGGTGAGCGTCATTTAATTTTTTTCTTTTTAAACTCTTTATAGGGATGGATCGTGACTATGGCCATGGATCCTATGGGGGTCAAAGATCCATGGACTCCTACCTAAACCAGTCATATGGCATGGACAATCACAGTGGTGGTGGTGGGGGTAGCAGGTAAATTGCTTAATCACTTGGCCAAATAATTAGTCGACTATAAGATTTCTGGATACTTTAATTTAATTTAAGTATTCCTTAGGCATGTTATGGTACTTGAATTGCACTATTTGATATTGAATAATCACCTTAAATGTCTAAAGGTGTTAACTAATAGTTATAAAAATTATCTCAGGGTCACTCGCAAACATTTTAGGAAAATCTCAGATAACTCTCATCATTTCAATAGAGTAAGATTTTCTGTCATTAACAGTGGACCTTTTTTTCCCTTCTTTTACTTTTAACTCCTTATTAATCAGAATGTCCTGAACAAATGATATAAAAATGTTATTGGAAATATTACTTGTGAAGCATTTTCTTAATGATTTTTAAAAAATCTTTCCTAATGTGGGTGCTCTGTAAAGCATAAAGCTTAAGTCGTTGACTAGAATGGGCTTAACTGAACCAGTCTAGTGACATTTAATTTCTAAGAAACATTTAAGATAGTTATTATTTTAATTTTAAAGTAAGTTGCAAGAGCATATTGTAATAATAAAAATGTTCTTTAAGTCATGTCTAGGTTATTTATTGGATGGTACTACTTACACCAAAAAAGTCTGTGCTCTAGACTAGGAGCATTGTATTAAAGCCTTGAATACTATACTTTTGCTTATTTTAATGCACTATAGTTTAGATTGTGTTTTTGTTTTACTGTTGATACTGTATAAAGCTTAAACCTAGTTGGTCTACTACAGGCTTTAGGGTTGACCACATTTCAGGGCAAGGGGATCCACTTTTTGAGGCACAAAGATTCCTACTAAATATAAGTAAAACTAGTTAGGAAACATTTGAAACTATCATCCTTCTTCATAAATTGAAGGATCCGGATTCCTTAAGGATGGACTGAATGATGCTTACTTTCCTTCTTTCTGCTTCAAGTGTGCCACTGTGGTTTATAGTAGAGATAAATCAAGAAAAGGAACAGTTCAACAATTTTGCTTATGTTATAGATGTTTTGAAAAACATAGTTGGAAAAGAGGGATAATTTTTATATGGTTACTAGGATTCAGAAGTAAATAGTACCTTCTATTTAGTGATCTGTAAATAATTGAAATAATGTAACATTTAAATGTTTTAATATATTGGTTATTGCCCTATTACATGTAAATGTAATGTACATAAACTGTAGATGTTATCATTTATCTCATGTATAATTGTAGGCCTTTACAAAACTGTGTTGTAAGATACAAAGCAACTTTTGTAATCCATGCTTTAGATTTGTGAGAAGTAAGATGATTTGTTTCTTCTGTTGACTTTATTAAAACCTTGAGGAGACTCTGAGCTCCCTTTTTTAGGGTAGTTTTATGTGATAATTTCCTGCCAGGAAATACTTTTTCAAATAATTGAAGACATTATAAAATGTATTCTTCCTCATCTGCCTTGAAAATTCATATGTAGAGGGTATATGTTGGTGGTCTTTTACTTTTATGTTCTATTTTATGTGCTTATTCTTCTAGATTTGTTAGATTTACTAGTCTACAAGTGACTGAGGATTGATTATTGACCTTAGCCAAAGTTTGGCAGACTGTCAAATTTTATAACAGAAATAATTCTCCAAATTTTGACTACTACAGACACAATAAAGCAGTTTTGTGATATAGATTATTGGGGTGCATACGGATCTCTTCTGTGTCACAAAGACCCTACATCTGTGTAGTCTTCAATTTGTGTCCCTATTGAAAGCCAAAGTATTGTCAATGTTTTGTATTTTTCAGTATTAGGGATGGATTCAAAGAAAGTTTGAGTAGTTTGTGAACTTTAGCAAATGACTTTTTCCAAGACTAGGGCTGGGCTTAAATAATGACAGACAAATCTTTCTCTTTTTAATAAAATAGAAAAGCTGCTAAAAGGCAGATTTTTAAGCTAACATTTACTTAACTCAATTCATGTTTAAAAACAGACTCAGATAGCTTTCTATCTGGTCTCATGTTGAATTGCCCAGCCCTAATCAAGCGTGAACAAAAGTAGAACTGTGCAAACCAGTATGATATAAATGAATTTTAGTTGATAAATGTCATCTGATAATTTGTCTTTTGAATTGTCTAACATTAGTAAGCTTACTTTTGTTTTTTCCCTTACTGTGCAACTTTTCCAGGTTTGGACCTTATGAGTCTTACGACTCCAGGTCTTCTCTGGGTGGGCGAGATCTGTACAGATCTGGCTATGGTTTTAATGAACCCGAACAAAGCCGCTTCGGAGGTAGTTATGGTGGTCGATTTGAGAGCTCCTACCGGAATAGCCTTGACTCTTTCGGAGGTAGAAACCAGGGCGGGTCTAGCTGGGAAGCACCTTACTCCCGTTCAAAATTGAGGCCTGGGTTTATGGAGGACAGAGGAAGAGAGAATTACTCTTCCTACAGCAGTTTTTCTTCACCCCATATGAAGCCTGCACCTGTAGGCTCTCGGGGGAGAGGAACGCCTGCTTATCCTGAAAGTACGTTTGGAAGCAGAAACTATGATGCTTTTGGAGGACCATCAACAGGCAGAGGCCGAGGCCGAGGAGTAAGTACAACAGAATCTTTTCAGATTCTTTTCACTAGTCACTCTTTTAAACCCTTTCAAGACCATGGTTTTCAACTAGAATAAACACTGTTCATCCCAGTGTATTTTGAAGCAAAAGCTGAGTCATAAGCATAATTTTAGGTTGCCTGTAAAAGTTTTTCCAGCACCTTAGAAAATAAGTGGCAGTGTGAGATGATTGTTTATAAAGTTTTGCCAAGCTCCCTTTATTAAAAAGGTGAGGATATTAGGTTTGGTCTAAAAGGGGTTAAAAGGAGTTGCATTTTTCCTTGTAAACACTAGCAGTTTTGCTGGTGTGACAGTTCTTGGATTATTGTAAAAGGTAACTTGAACCCTTTTGGAGTTCTTGAGTAGGTTAAAGGTGCAATGTATGATAAAATGTTTATACTTTGCTGCTAAACTCTAGCACATAGCACTTCTTCAAAGCTTCATGTTTCACATTAAACACAAGAGACTAAAGGTTGGTGATAGATGAGGGTAGCTTAGCCATGTACATGGTGAAGAAGTTGATATGTATAATAGGTTGTAGAATGATTTGTGGTCAGTTAATTTTGCTAACTCACTCTCTTACAATATGTCCTGTTCCTGGGTGTTCTCTTTTCCCTGTGTCACTAGCTTTACTATTGAGAAATAATTTCATACCTGTACAAACATGTTTTTGGCTCCTTCCTAGGAAGTGATATTTTGTAAGTTATTGCTTAAATGAGTAAATATACTACTCGTGAAGTGTTTAATTTCAGGATATATAGTGTAAAGATTATGCCTTATGTTTTTAGGTAACTTGACTGACATGAAACTTTACCCAGTAAGGGTATGTAGATTGTGGGGTTATTATGTAGTTTGATCATATGAAGAATATTGTCTTTTTTGCTATCATGTAAGAATTTTTTTAAGTCAGTTGGTCTTAATAATCTCTTTGCATAGGAAAGTACTTCTGCTAAAAAATGTGGTAGGGCACATGGTTTTGACTGTTCATTAGCCTTTGACATCAGTGTAGTTTGTCATGCTTGTGTAGAAATTTTGCATTTATAACAGTTAACTCTTTACTTATGTAAAATGCATTGCACCTTTAATGGATAATTAATGAAGATTTTTCTGATGTGACTATATAAATACCTGGAAACACTAATTTATTCAAGTCTACTAGGTTAGATAGGTTTTCTAAACATGATATACAAATGTAAGCAACTGATATGTTGCTGTTCCACCATATTTTATCATTGTAGGTTAATTGAAAATAGTTGAGGTACTAGTCTTTGGGTTTTGAAATTGAAAATCTATTTCGGTTTAAAAAGTTGAGAAACATATTTTCCATGCTTTATATTACTTTAGGCAGATGATTTTTTCCTTATTGAGACTTCAAATATCAATTTTGTTTTCATGATAAAAAAACAGGTATTCCTTTATTTTGTATTTACCATTCTAGTCTGAATAGACTTTTGTTTCTTTCCTCCTGTTAATGAAGTAGATGAACCAATAGGACTTTCTTTTTTAATCTTCACTTGTACAATTCCCATTGGATCCTTCTCTTCAGATTACTCCTCATTCTTTATCTTCTAAAAGTAAGGTTAGCAGAATAAATTTCTGTGGACATGTGGTTTCTTGGTGTAGTGGATTTTGTTAATGACAAGAGAAGAGGAAGGGACACAAAGAGTCGTTTGGTTGCATGACTCTTCATCTGTAAACTTTTGCTTGGACTTCTGGGTCAGAAAATGTTTCTCTAGGTAAGAATGTGAATGGAACGTCAGATGTAATTCTTTATCTGAAGTGTGTCTTGGAAGTTGATGCATGGTTATGCTTTAACTCTCCTATTTCATACTAATGTTCCATCTCGCCTTCTCATTCCCTTTTTCAACAGGGAGAAATCCTAAATGATTTCTGGATCTTTTTTACTTCAAACTTCAAATATGATCTTCTTTGCGTATCTTAGTTTTAAGCCAGGCTTTAGTCAAATAAAGATTTCTTTTAAGGTCTTTTCATGGGAAAACATCAATTAGGAACTCTGAAGAGGAGTTGTCAGAGAGTTGTACAAGTGGTAATATTCTGACAGGCACATAATGTTGTTTATGATCTCAAGTAATTTTGCATTGTAAAAATGAGAAAATAGGAAATATCCATATTTGTTCTACTGGAAATAAAACTACTGATTCACTGGATTTGAGTTCATGTAATAATTTACAAAGTTTTTCAATGTGTTTATTCAGAGTGCATATATAAAATTTAGTTACATTCTGGGGAATTTTCAGGTGAAAATTAGTAGATAGATAACTTGGAAATTTTGTATGAATTCATACTTTATCTTTGGATATTATGCTAATATTTCTTGATTTCACAAATTTGCAGCATATGAGTGATTTTGGAAGCATTCATAGACCCGGAATTGTTGTTGACTATCAAAACAAACCCACCAATGTCACAGTTACCGCTGCAAGAGGAATAAAGAGAAAAATGATGCAACCATTTAATAAGCCTGGTGGAACCTTTATCAAGAAACCCAAGCTAGCAAAACCTGTGGAGAAGATGAACCTCAGCAAATCACCCAGTAAGTAAGAACACATAATTGCTATGAATTAGGATGCTTTTTATTTTTTTAAAATTCAGTGCTTTTAGATACTTTTTTCATGTTTATGTAGACAAACTGCATGATAATTAAAATTGTAGAAATTAGATTCATGAATCCCCTAGTGCAGTTATTAATCAGTCATGAACATCAGAATTACCCAAAGATACTTTTTAAATTCACATGCCCTTGTCTGCTCCTCTTCCCTAAATCCTGATTTAGGGTGGAGCCAGAACATCTACATTTTTAAAAAGGCCTCACACATAATTTTGCCTCAAACTCCTTTTTTGGTGTTATGTTTATTGTTGGAGGTGGTGTTGTGGAAGTGGTATCTCACATTACATAGAATCCCCTTTATGAGGACAAAGGAAAGACATTTTTTATGGTCCTTACTACCAGGAAAAACTGTTTCTTCTGGAAAATTAATTTGGTTTTAGTCTTCTGAAGATGATAACTCTTCAAAATAATCATATTTCCATTTTTACGTTGTTAAAAAATTGAGACCCAAGCTGAAAATCATATTAAGAAAACGATTTTATTCATGGTAACATCAAGAAGCATAAAATACTTTGGAATAAATTTAAGAAAAGAAGTACAAAATTTATACTTTGAAAACTATGAAACATTGTTGAAAGAAATTAAAGAAGACCTAAATAAATGGAAAAACTAAATGAATGTTCGGAGTTCAGAAGACTTAGTATTGTTAAGATGGTAATACTCCCCGAACTGATGTACAGATTCAGCACAATCCCTATCAGAATTTTCCACTTGACTTCTTTGCAAAAATTGACAGATTGATTCTAAAATTCATAGGGAATTGCAAGGGACTTAAAATAGCCAAAACAAAAGAAGAAAGAACAAAAGAAAAATAAGAACAAAATAAAGACTCAGATTTCATGATTTCAAAACTTAGTACAAAGCAACGGTAAATAAAACAGTGTGGTACTGGCACAAGGGCAGACATAGATCAGTAGAATAGAATTGAGAGTCCAGAAATAAACTCATAAATCTATGGTCAACTGGTTTTTAAAAGGGATGCCAAAATTAGAAGAAGAGAATAATCTTCAACAAATGGTGTTCAGACAACTGGATAGCCACATGTAAAAGCTAAATGTAAGACTTAAATGCAAGAACTAGAACTATAAAACTGTTAGAAGAAAATATAGGGGTAAATCTTCATGACTTTGGATTTGGCAAGAAATTCTTAGAGATGACAGCAAAAGAATGAGCAACAAAAGAAAAAATAGATAAACTTTATCAAAATGAAAATCTTTTGTGCTTCAAAGGACACGGTAAAGAGAATGAAAGAGAGCCCACAGAGTGGGGGAAATATTTGCAAATCGTGTATCTGATTAGGGTCCTTGTGTTTAGAATATGTAAAGAATTTTTACAACTCAAAGGACAAATAGCCCAATTGAAGAGTGAGCAAAACACCTGAACAGTTTTCCAAAAAAAAGGAATATAAATAGCCAATAAGCACATGAAAAAATGCCCAACAATTAGTTATCAGGGAAATGTAAACCAAGACCACAGTGAGGTACCACTTCACACCCACCTGGATGGCTAGAATGAAAAAGGCAGATAATAACAAGTGTTAGCAAGGATGTGAAGAAATCAGACCTTCATACCCAGCTAGTGGGAATGTAAAATGGTGTGGCCACTTTGGAAAATAGGCAGTTCCTCAGATGGTTAAACAACTACCATATGAACCTGCAATTCTATTCCTAGGTATATATCTAAGAGAAATGAAAACATACATCCTCACAAAAACTTATATACAGATGTTTATAACAGCATTATTCACAGTAGCCAAAGGGTAGAAACAACCCAAATATCCATTAGTGGATGAATGAATAAATAAAATGTGATGTGTCTGTGCAATGGAGTGTTTTTAGCCGTAAAATGGAATGAGGTACTGATACATGCTACAACTTAGATGAACCTTGGAAAGATTATGCTAAGTGAAAGAAGCCAGTCACAAAAGTCCACATATTATATGATTCTTTTCATATGAATGTCGCATACAGAAATCTATAGAGACAGAAAGTAGGTTGGTGTTTGCTTTGGGCTATGGGGTATGTAGATAGTAATACTTAAAGGGTACCAGCTTTTTTTGTGAGTTGATGAAAGTGTTCTAAAATTAATCACGGTGATGTTTTCACATATCTGTGAATATACTGAAAACCATTGGATTGCACACTTCAAGCGGATGAATTATATGGTATGTGAATTATATCTCAATACAGTTTTTTTTTGTAAAGTTCAAAGCCAGATTACTCTATCACTTTTCTCTGTTATTGTATTTTATTTTTTAACTTCATAGTATATCTCTAAATGAAATCAAGTGCATTTGACCAAATTAGTTTAAGTCAAGGATATACATAAATAAAAGCTAAGAAAATGTCTTTTTAAACACATTCTCTGTGAAAACATATAATAGCAAAATAATATAAACAAATGTCTTGCCCATTTTTGGTTGTACACTAAATTATTTTTTGTTTTTTATATTTATTTTTGCCTTGATGAGTGAGAAGTGTTTTGTCTTTCTAAGTTAGGTGATATTGCAAGGGCACAAAAGTTACTCTCTTCCTTAGAATTTATAGTTGATTAATCTAATCAGGAATGGAGGAGGTTTAGATAATTGTAATGAATGAATATTCCAAAAGTTTCCCATCATATTTTTCAAATTCAGTTTTAAAAATAAGATGTATTGAGCATTACAGGGAATTCATTGGAGTCTGTATTCCTTTGATGTCAGAGGTGCTAAAAAAAGTCTTGATAGCCTTCAAATAATTATAAAAAAAGAGGGAGGAGGGAAAGAAGCAAGGAGACCTAGATAAGTCCTAGTTAAAAGCAGGGTATTTTTATTGTATTTTTTGGATACTGAAGTATGTTTTGTCTTTCGAATTTCATCTTCATTTAAATTGCTTAAGGATTAATTTGACAAAAGAGGGATTGTAGTAATTATTAATAATAGTAAGCTAGCACTTAACTGAATTCTTATGGCACACTAGGCACTGTGTTAAAGGGCATAATGTGCATTAAACTTAGGTCATTCTCACATCAACCTACACAGGTATAGGTGTGTGTATCAAACCCTCTGTAGCTGAGAAGCAGGCACAGAGCTGATAAAAAACTTGCTGCCCGGGTTAAACAACCACTAAATGGCAAAGCCATGTTTCTTCACTTAAACTTCCATGTGATTGTAACAGAAAATTGCTTTGTACTATTTTTTCCTCTTTTAAAACAACTTTTTTCTAATTGTAACGTTATAGACATTTTATTATATCATATTTGAAAAAAGTAATTGCAATTGCAAATGTTAGATTCTTTCCTCAAAATGTACGCACCATAATACAAAACTCAGGAAAGGTTTAAATACTATTCTTAAATCTACTTTCCTGCGCAATTGATATCTATATTGTTTAATAAAAAATAATAATATTCTGGAATTGTGGAAACCTGATAGTAAGTTAGTGGAATGTCTGTTGGGATACTTTTTATACTGTGTTAATTGATAGATTGTTATTTACCAAATTGTGTTCTCTAGATATTACAAGAATAGGCAATTCAGTTGATCCTCTTGGGGCAGATTTCAAAGATATATTTTTCAAGTATAGTTAAATAAATATTGCAAAGTTTGATACAGAACTGATATAGAAACTGAAGCAGATATATGTTACCCAACTTTTTTTTTTCTTTTTAACTAAACTGAGAATACTGTAGTGTAGCTAAGGGTGAAGCAAAAATTCTATAGTCAAATCAGGCTTTCACTGTCAGGTGTGAGGTGAGCCTTTTGAAAGATATCTGCTGAACATTCAGGAATAATAGGTCTTCCTACACTCTAGCATAGACTATGTGATTTGTTGAAAAGCAGTAGGAAAGGAACCATATTCTGTCATTTGACTGGGGGTACTACATATTATATTGTAGCTTTAGCATATGAAAGGGAAATGAAATTACTTCTAGTTTGAGGTCATATGCAGGTGGATTTTCCATAGAGTGAGAGTTGGGGGGAAACTGAATGAAGATATTGAAAATGGTTAATAAAATGAGAATGTACATTTAAGCTATTATAAAATGATGAAAAATAATCTAGATATTGAATTTTAAGGTGTTGATTTTATGTAATTTTGAAACATCCCACCGTATACATAGCAAGTGCTTAATAAATATTTGTTTACTGTCAAATTTATGAGTCCCCAGATGTTCATGATTTTGTATTAGATGTTTTGCCAAAGGTAATCCAAAATGATAATGCATAAAAGAAGTAGTTTAAGGGTAGATAAGTTTTTTTTTAGTCTGAAGTTAAATGTATTATAAGAAAGAACCTGCTCACAGTGAGATACCACTTCACAGCATGTGAAGTGATGGCCGTAATTTAAAAAAAAAGAAAAATAACAGGTGTTGATGAGGCTGTGGAGAATTTGGAACCCTCACACTTTACTGGTGGGAGTGTAAAATGGTGCAGCTGCTGTGGGAACCGGTTGGTGGTTCCTCAAATGATTAAGCATAGACTGCCCACATGACCCAGCAATTCCACTCCTAGGTATATACGTCAAAGAACTGAAAAGTATTCAGACAAAAAAAAGTGTACACAAGTGTTCATAGCAGCATTATTCACAGTCGCCAAGAGGTGGAAACATTGAAAATATTCATCAAGAGATGAATGGATAAAAAAAAAAAGTGGTGTATCCACACAGTGGAGTATTATTCAGCCATAAAAAGGAAGGAGATAATGATATATTGTAAAACACATGGATGAATCTCAAAAACATTGTGCTAAATAAAAGAAGCCAGACAAAAAAGGCCCCATATTGTATGATTACATTTATATGAAATATCCAAAATGGGGAAATCTATAGAGACAGAAGGCAGATTAATAGTTACCAGAGGCTTGGGGAAAGGGTAAGTAGGGAGTGACTGCTTAATGGATATGGGGTTTTCATTTTGGATGATGAAATAGTTCTGGAGGTAAATAGTGGTGATGGTTGCACAATACTGTGATATACATAATACTACTGAATTGTACACTTTGAAAGGGTTAAAATGGTAATTTTGTACCATATGTTATATTACTTTACTATATTCACATTAAAAAATGTTTTAAAAGAAGAGAAAAAAACCTTTTAGGGTTTATACATTTTAAGAAATTTTGGGAGAGCTGCTATAATGTATATGAGGTTTTGCATCTAAGGCTCTCCATTGCTCATTGAATTTCCGTTTTCATTCAAGATCAGGTTATTTCAGTGTTTCTTGAAGTGTTGTATTCAAGATGATTTTACATGATATAGATATTATTGCTTAAAATGAGAATAAGAAAAAATGAGCAGATTTAAAGAAAAATTTGTAGCAAATAATCACATAGATGAGAAGTAAATATGGCAAAATTCGTGATGATGGTGTTCAAATGAATGGAGTTTCAGAAATACTGAGTAATCTCAAACTCTGATTTTTCTGGGGAGTTCAGTTGAGATTACGATCACCAAGTAAACCTTGTATGTCTGTACTTTATGAACTGGGGCCTGGAAAGGGAGAATGGAAAAATGGGTTTTGGTTTTGACTGTTTTGTCTGATATCCTAGCAAAAACTGATCCTAAAAATGAAGAAGAGGAAAAGCGGCGAATTGAGGCTCGGCGAGAGAAACAAAGGCGCAGAAGAGAAAAAAACAGTGAGAAATATGGAGATGGATACAGGTTTGTGCTTAGTAGAGTCAGAAAATTGGGCTCATTAAAAAACAGTTTCCTAGAAAAGGCAAATATATGAATTGGAATGTGAAAAAATTCTTCAGAATCAAATGAAAAGGTTTGATCAAAGATGTGTCGGAATGCTTTTGATTTTTGATATTTATATGTAATCACCACTTAGAAAATATATGAAAAAAGGGTCCCATTCATAATTGTAATCCAAAAATAAGAAATATACAGAAATACTGTATTCTTGAAAAGAAATACATGTTATAACATGAAGAAAAACCGCATAGTCTTCCTGAGATTTGACTACATGGAGATATAGTGATATTCTTGGATTGGAAAACTAAATATTACAAATATGTCAGATCTTCCCAGTCCTGATTCCCAAGATGCTGCTGAAAAAGAAGAGTACATCAGTAGGTGCTAGCTTTTCCTGATATTAAGACATTAGAAAGCTGCAATAGTTAAGAATCTGTGGTACTAGGAAAAAGGTAATCAGTGTAACAGAATTATTAACCTGTAAACATATGCATTATATATAAGAATGTATTATGTAATAAAGAAGATATTGAAAGAGGAATTGCTTGGTAACTGAAAAATAACAAGAAAAATAGTTTGGATCCTCTTCTTAGACCAGCAAGGATGAATTCAGATGGATTAAAAAACCTAAAAAAAGGGGAAATAACAGCAAGATAAAAGGGAGTGTTTTTTTCTTTTTTTTCTTCTCCCCAAAGCCCATCAGTACGTAGTTATATATTCTAGTTGTAGGTCCTTCTAGTTGAGCTGTGTGGGACATCACCTCAGCATGGCCTGACCAGTGGTGCTAGATCTGTGCCTAGGATCCAAACTGGTGAAACCCTGGGTCTCTGAAGTAGAGTGCGAAAGCTTAACCACTCAGCCACGGGGCTGGCCCTGAAAATGGGGTATTTTAATCTCTGCAAGAATATTTTTTTTTCTAGGCTTAAAAGTTATGGAATAAATTACAACGGAAATGATGACCAGATTTGTTTAAGTAAAAATTTTAACTAGAAAGAAAACAGACTTGGAAAATATTATAAACATGAGAAATGGTTAATGTCTAAGTTAGATAAGTATCACCCAACCAGAATTTTTTAAAAAGTATATATAGTAGCTCCAAACATAAAACAAATACCAGTGATAGGGATTGATCAAGTATATGTAAGGTTTGACACATCCATTCGTGGGCTTTTGGGCCGTTGTTAAAAATGAAGGTTTATAAAGCCTAAAATAGGATGGAGAAAATGTGAGCAAAATAGGAAAATATAAATACAAGATGTAAAATTATACATAGGAAAAAAGGAGACTGCCAGGAATTTTTTTTAAAGGACAATAATTGATATTTTTTCCTCTGAAATCTGTTTAGGTACTGCTTATGCCAGGAAAATAAAGAATATAAAACTGGAACGGTAAATTCAGTGTATTTCCCGTTCAGAATATAGTTTTGCTCTTTAAAAGTTAACTTGTTTGCGTAGCATGAAGAGAATGAAATGTTTCACTTATGTGAGTTTTCTAGATGTTTAAAACTTTATTTTAATTCAAAAGATAACATTTTAAGAGAAGAATATGCAAACCTTTCCATGAAAGTATTTTTAAAATGTATGAATTTCCTTTCGTATTAAACAGGATACTCTTTGTTGTTACTTGGTTTTAATATATGCATTGGTTTTATTATGTGAAATATAGTGAAAGAAAATTCAGTCGCATCTGAATTCCCATTTTTTTAGTGTCTTTTTTTTTTTTAGTAAAGATTGGCACCTGAGCTAACAACTGTTGCCAATCTTCTTTTTTCTTTTTTTAATTGCTTTTTCTCCCCAAATCCCCCCAGTACATAGTTGTATATTTTTTAGTTGTGGGTCCTTCTAGCTGTGGCGTGTGGGATGCCGCATCAACATGGCCTGATGAGCGGTGCCATGTCCGCGCCCAGGGTCCAAATTGGCGAAACCCCGGGCCGCTGAAGCGGAGCGTGCGAACTTAACCTCTTGGCCACGGGGCTGTCCCCTAGAGTGTCTTTGATTTTAGTCTGCTAGGTATTACTTGTGTAACTTTTGTGTCCAGCTTTAATAATCTTTTCCTATGCTCTTTCTGGTTTGTTACTCCTAATTTGTTGGGACCTGTGAAAGAGTAGGATTAAGCTTATTAAGAATTAACCCATAAAAAGAAGTTCTAGTTTTAAGGGGCAGCTATTTTTAGTTCTTGTATCTCTCTCCCTCCGATGTAATTCCTTCTTTTGACAGGGGTAATCGGCTTAGGTACTTTGGTGAGGAAATAAATTGAAATGAACACTTTGTGTCAAACGTGTAGGAGTCTGAAGATGATTTTACATTGTAAGATTAATTTTTCTATTTAATTATCCTGTGAATACTTTCCCCATTAAAAATGATAGATTTGGATATGATGTATCGATGTTAATGTAATAAATGTTGTGATTTGGAGAAAATAAAAGAACTGAACTTTCATTTAGCTGTTTTCTCCATAACTCTAAATATAAAACCTGATGGCACAACCAAAAGAATGTCAGTTCAGTTAAGTTGCCATTTTAGGATAAGAATCCTTTAAAATAGTCTAAAATTATTTTAATTTACCAGAGCAGTTTTACTTTGAGTTAGGAGGATAAGAGATTGACAGTAAATAACTATTCTTGTGATATGTTCTTTTTGGATATTTGAATGCTTTCAATATAATAAAGAGGATGAGAAGGTGAGGGAACCTGTGAGGAAAGGGATGGGTGTCTGAGGGATGTGGAGAAACAGCAGTATGTGCAGAAGAGTGTATGGTCAAAAGAGAATGCAGAGTGCTCTTACGGGAGATGACTTCTAAATAGGAGTGCAGGGAAGTCAGGGAGACGGATGGAGCTGGTATTTGAACTGATTTAGGAATCAAGGGTTGCAGTCAAAGTTGTCAGGCAGCCCAGGTAGAGGGCATGACTTGAGGTAAAAGCAAAGGAACAGGAGTGTTTCATTGATATTCAGGAAATGGAAAGCTATGTGGATTGAAAATGACTCCAGTCGGGGTAAAAGGTGTAATCTAATTTAAACATTTATTGAAGGCATACTGTATGCCAGATATTGTTAAAGGTATTAGTGGGTAAAGCCAAAAAGAGAGAGAGAAGAGATTAAGAGCTTTGTTAAACGACAATTGAAAATGTTTTAACTGTTTCTGGAACCTTAAGGAGCCATGAAGCCTTTTGAGCAGTAATGTGGCTGTTGCCTCCTTTTGGAAGTAATAATTAATTGAATAATTATTTTGTGCCAGGAACTGTTCTAAGGGCTCTATATGTATTAATTTTTTTTAATCCTCGTGATAATTCTGTGAGGGTTCTCATCTCATTAAGCTGAGAAAACTGAGGTCTAGAGAAGTTAAGTAACTTGCCCAAGGTCACAGAAAGGGGCTAGGATGTAAACCCGAGAATGGGCTCCAGACCCCACACTCTTAACCAGGAAAAGAAATCTTAATAGTAGTGTAAGGAATTAATGAAATGAAAAGGACTTTATCTGACATTTGAGCAATTTCTCATTTTTTCAGTTTCCCATTTCTTTCATTTTCTGTTTCTAAAAATTTAATTTGCTGTTTACTTAAAGAATGAGTTGTTTTAAAATTAGCCCACAATTAGATGTGAATTCCTCCTCTGTATAGAGGAAATCTAATAGAATTTAGATTTGTTATTTGAGAGAAAATGGAGACTGGAGACAGAGAAACCAGTTGGGAAACTGTTGTCATAATTAAAGGAAAAGAAAATAACAAGAATATATAAGATAGGAACAGTTAAATGGTAGAAAAAGGGGAAATTCATTCTGGGATGGCACGTAAGCTTCTAAATGTGTGCATTTGTCCAGCCCAGGCCTATTAGTCATCCTCAAGTGGCCTTTAGAGGATAGGACTTTTAATTACCCAGGAGCTCCAAGGGAGTGAATTATGGTTGTCTGGTGTTCCACCTGGCTTTGTTGATACTGCCTTAGTGGTTTGGAAGCTTGAGGATGGAACAGAGTGTAAAATAAGTAGTGGAACTTTGGAACTCGTTACTTCTTGAGGTTTACTTTGGCTTTCTAACTGGTCTAGGCTTGAAGTGGATAGCTTAGGACTAGATTAAGTGGATAACACTGATTCCCTCTTTCATACGCAGAAGTTCCTGGGTGGGCCAGAAATGCAAAGTGGTATAATGATAGTATTGTCCATATAGGTACTTAAAGAAACACTGTTTTTCTGACTTAAACTAAATTACTTCAGAAAATGGAAGAAAGGAAATCATTTATGCTGGTAATTAGTTTCATTGCTATATTCTTATGAACTCTTTCTAAGTAAATAAAAGAAAACTTTTTTTTTCCTTATAGAATGGCATTCACATGTTCATTTTGTAAATTTCGAACATTTGAAGAAAAAGATATTGAACTGCATCTGGAAAGTTCTTCACATCAGGAAACATTAGATCATATTCAGAAACAAACCAAGTTTGATAAAGTAGTTATGGAGTTTTTGCATGTAAGTAGCTGTTTTTGAAATGAAGAAGACACTCTCTGACATTTCAATTTCTTATTTTTTCAGTTTCCCATCTCTTTCATTTTATGTTTCTAAAAATTTAATTTGCTCTATACTTAAAGGATGAGTCGTTTTAAAATTAGCCCAGAATTAGATGTGAATTCTTCCTCTGTAATAGAGTTTAGATTTGTTATTTGAGGGAAGATTTTACATTTTTCAGAGTAGTTTCTGGCAGAGGTGTCAGGAAAAGAATTCCTTTAACAACTATTTGTTGGTGTAGAATCAGCTATCATCCTTTGAGAGACTATGTACCTCGTGTTGTGCTGGGTATTTTCATTTAAGCCTGCTAGCAACTCCTTTTTATCACAAGAGATCATGCTCAGAGCAGTTTAGTGACTTTCAGTAAGTGGCAGAGTCTGCTTACTGAATTCAGAGCCAGGGAGCCTGCTGGGTGTTTGTTTAGTGTCCTTTGTATTATCAGTGTGTGGTCATCAGTTCAACAGTTTTTCTTGAATACTTAAGGAAGGTGTCGTGCAGATACTGAAGACACTCAAACTACCCTCAGTGAACTAACAATAACAGGAACTAGAACACACTCACACATACACAGATGACACGGTTAAGTGAAAGAGCCAAGAATGATAGTGTGGGTAGAAGGGGTTTCGAGAAGAGGAGGATAGTTAGGGCCAGGGATGCTTAAGGAATGGGCTAGAGCTGGCCTGCTAGTTGTACATACAATTAATTTGGGCAGAAGAAATGGAATTGTTAGAAGGTTAGAAATACAGTGATCATTCGTTCCTCTATATCCTTGCAGAATTGTATCCCTTCATTAAAATTTTTTTCTATAATTTTATTCCTTAACTGGTTCCTTGCTGTCATTTAAGACTTAAGTACTCACCTGCCCTGAGAAGACCTCTTGACTATTCCTACTGTGTTTGATCTCTTTTTCTCTATATACTTGAAATACATTTTGAAAAGTGAAGACTTTTTGTAGTTTCTTAGTATTTTATGGTATCTTTTCAACTAAAGTGTAAGCTCCTTGAGAACAGATATTAGTTCTTATATAACAGGTATTGTTGTCTTCCACAGGCTGAGCATGGTACTAAGCTTATACTCAGTGCTCACTGAAAACATTTTGGATTCTTCCTGTTTTGTTTTCTAGGAATGTATGGTGAATAAATTCAAGAAAACATCTATTCGTAAGCAACAGACAAATAATCAAACAGAAGCAGTCAAAGTAATTGAAAAAGATGTTATGGAAGGTGAGTGTTTAACCAAATTGTTTTAGAAATTTACATGTACGTTTTACATACCATAGCCCGTTTGAATGTAAGTGATGCCCACTAGAGTGATACAGCACATGGTTCTGTGTGGTAGTCCTGAGTAGGTTATCAGAAATGAATTCCTTTGACTTTCTGTTCTCATGCTTACAAATTATCACTACTTACCCTTACATCTTTCACTTAAGTTTTAGACGAGAAATCAGCTGTACCTCTAGGTGGAAGATACTTCTTCTTTGGCCCTCTTATTCCTTCTCATCTCCTTAAGGACTTTTGCTCAAATATTGAACTCGTCTCTTCTGTTTTTCAATCTTTTCTTCTCTTTTGATTCTGTTTCTGAAGCCTATGCTCTTATCTTAAAAAACAAACAAACAAAACCCAAAAAACGAAGGAAAAGAAAGGAAAAACAGACACTAGTTCCCCTGAAACCTGCCTTTCTTTTTAAACAATCATACTTCTTTCAGCATAGTCCACACTAGTCTCTGTTTCTTCACTTCTCATTTATTGCTTTACTCACTAGACAACTTTCTGCTACCATTAGTCTACTGACACTACTCTGACAGAGGTTACCAACACCAACTTCAATATGTTCTTTTGAATTATCTTACTTCTGCAGCATTTTTCACTGATAACGCTATTCTTCCTGAATCTGTTTCCTCCCTTAGTTTCCGTGGTATCTCACTACCCTGATGTGCTTTTTATTCCTTTGTCATTTTTCTCTTTGTGCTATTTTTCCCCACCAGGCTTTTAGAAGTTGATATTTCCCAGTATTCTGTCATTAGTCCCATTATCATCTCTCTTTATATTCCTTCCTGATGAATTCATTTTCTTACAGAGGTTAAATTAACATCTATATGTTAATCACTTATACATCTATAACACAGATCTCTCTTCTGAACTCTGATCTCATACATCCAACTGCCTACTGATGTCTTTCTTCAGCAGTGCCGCAAAATCAACATATCCAAAAAAATACCCTCTTCTTGAGCATGCCCCACTCCATAAAGAATACAAAACAAAAATTCAACAAGTATCTCCTTTATCTTGGAAAGTGGCCTCGCCATAAAAGACACAAGTATGAAATTAATCCTAAGTACTCACTTTTACTTTCTCTGTCTGTAGCAGTGTCTCCTATTGGTTCTCTCCTTTAAATATCTTCCAGATCTGTTTCTTTACCTCCTCTTTAAATATTGCATTTGCTCAAATCTTTATCTGTTCTCTTGATAATTGTAGTATTTTCCTAACTAGTTTCCTTACTTCCAGTCTTTCTTGTCTCTAATTCTACTACATGATTTCATTACTTCAGGAATTTTCAGTGGCTCCCTCATCCTCTGCAGGGTGAAGTTCTAATTCCTGGGCATGGCATGCAAAGCTCTTCATGATCTAGACCCTACTCTTTTTCTCTGTTAACATCTTTTGTCCCTTCTTTATGCTCTGTGCCCCAGCCATACTGAATTACTTGCAATTCCCAAAAAATACCGTTTTCTCTCACATCTTTCCCTTGAATATACTTATACCTTCTCCTGTAATAAACCTTGATCACCATTTTCAAGATCCAACATATTTTTTGTTGCTTATGAATCCAAGGTGGACACCTTTTCTCCATCCCTATCCACCCACAATCATAATCATGGAAATTCTTATTTTACTCTAAAATCAACATTTGTTTCCTTTTATGTTTTTGCGAAATGGACTTATAGGCCTCAGAGCATGATGGTATAACATGATTAGGCAATATAATATAATTAAACTTTATGATTTTAATGTTTTATCCATATATGCAGATTTATAAGATGTAGAAAACTCAACATAAACAAACCTATAGACTCTGATCTTTTTTTGGAAGAAGGGCTATAAGTAATCATGGAAGTGAAATAGTAAAAACTCGATTTGTCAGAAATAGGAATATATGAATCATTACTTTTCTTACTGATAATTGAATTCCTTTTGTAGGTGTTACTGCAGATGATCACATGATGAAAGTCGAGACTGTTCACTGCAGTGCGTGTAGTGTGTATATCCCTGCTTTACATAGTTCAGTTCAGCAGCACTTAAAATCCCCTGATCATATCAAGGGGAAGCAGGTAAGTTTTGATCTATCTTAATGAAGTCATTGAGTTATTCATCAATCCTTTATCATCGTTTAAAGGTTGTTGCTTCACACCTACCTACTCGAGGCCAATCCTGTTAATCTCATGTGTGACTGTTACCGAACCAAAAGTGGATTCGCCCCTTGGCGAGTTACAGTCAGACTCTTGACCATAAGTAGTTGTCACACAAAGTAGAAGTTAGTTGCAGCAAATAGGAAGCCATGGCTGTCTTCAAACAGAGGAAAGCTGGGGCCTTTTATTTTGGATGGGGAACGAATATTCAATAGGGAGAGGTGGGCATTCGCTTCTGCAGGCTCATTTGGAAAACATGCTTCCACATGTACTGCAGGTTATGGTAATAAGTCCTGAGTTGGTGCAGCAGAGGAGATCTTAGCATTAAAAATGAGGCGAAGGCCATAGGCCTGGCTCTTGTGGTGGGGCTTGCCCTGGTTCAGGGTGGTTGGTGATTGCATCTTTTCAACAGTTAAATGCTTCCTAACCTGCCTTTGTGATCCTCAGGGCAATTAGTTGGGTGACATGACTAACTGTAAAAATACCTAGAGAGACAGTGTGTGTAATGGTTAAGATTGTCAGCTCTGGAGCAGGACTTTCTGGGTTTGAATTCTGCTTCAGTACATAACGTGTGTTAAACAAGTAAATTAACTTTATCTGTTTCCTTATATAAAATGGGGATGGAGAATCATTCTACTCTTGTGTGACTTTTAAAGGATTAGGTTAATTAAAATATAAAAGACACTTAAAATAGTACCTGGTACATAGTAAGCATTCAGGAAATCATAGCTGTTGTTGAACTATTCCTTTTATTATTAACATTTTTTTTAAGTTGGTAAAAAATGGTTTTATGAGTGTGTGCATGTGTGAGTTTTAGAACAAAAAAGAAAGTAAAGGTTTGATTATAATATACATTTCTCTGATGGTTGGGAAAAATAATTAAAAAACTAGGATTATCATAATTATAATATATATTATGTATGTAATATATAATATATAATATATTAGTAAATTTGAGTAGAATTTACTCAGAAATTGTAGAAGAATTTACTGTTTTCTTTTTGATTAGCATATTTTGGTTTCTATGTTGGTTGGTTTTATTTAGTCAGATTTACTTCAAATAAAAAATGTTTATATTGTGGGACATTAGTTTGAAAAGCATATTTAAAAATTTAAATATTAAAGACTTAAGCTTTTTTGTTTGTTTTTGTTTGGCGAGGAAGATTATCCCTAAGCTAACATCTGTGCCAGTCTTCCTCTATTTTGAATGTGGGATGCTGCCACAGCATGGCTTGATGAGCCGTGTGTAGGTCCGTGCCCAGGATCTGTATCCATGAACCCCAGGCCGCGGAAGTGGAGCATGTGAACTTAGCACTGTGCCACTGGGCTGGCCCTAAAGATTTAAGTTTTAGATAGAACATACCTGGGTCTTAAATTCATATTTTGCGTCAATGTGAACCTCATTTAACTCAGATTTTTTTTAGCCACTTTGAGCACATATAATCTTTTAAAAATCTTTGTTCTTTCATTTCTCTTTTGATGTTTCCTTGACACCTTTTTGGCAACTAGACATTCTATATTATTACTTTTCCTCCTTTGTATAATACAGTCTTGTGATAACTACAGCCCAGAGGAAGATGATTACTCCTAACAGTATGAAAAATTATTCCTTCTGTTATGATAGCATGAAAGTTAATAGTTGGAGTAGTTGGAGCTGGGGGAGGTGGGTGTAGAATAGAGAGGAGAGAAAGCAACTGTCTAGTAGACCTAGACTTAGAGTATTTGGTGACTGAGTGATTTCGTTGCAGCAGGTTGGCTTATTGAATCTTGTTTTAATCCATAGGTGATTTAGATTATGGTCACAGTAGCTGCTGTTGCTTTATAGCTTAATTTGCCAGAAAGTAAATCATTTAAATCTAAAGAATTGAGCATACAGTGTTTTTTAATTATGGAAATATATTTCATGGCATGGTTTTCAAGTGCATACCTCCTTGTGTTCTATTTTTCATAGGCTTATAAGGAACAAATAAAAAGAGAGAGTGTCTTGACTGCTACAAGCATTTTAAATAATCCAATAGTGAAGGCACGATATGAACGTTTTGTTAAGGTAAGATTTTAGGACAAAAACTTACTTCTTAGGTTATATTGTAGTATTGTAATAATTAAATGGTGACATAGTAACTCTTTGTGATATTTAAATATAGTACAACATTGCGAATAATTTTACATCGTATCTTGTACATAGATAAAACATCTTATTTCCCAGTTATTGGGATTTGTGATGGGAGAAAGCAATAAGCCATTCCTCTTTCATCCTCTTTCTAGCTCTGGATCATTTGAGAGATACACAATCATCTGATAGAAGATCAGAATGTCAGCTTTATTCTTGATTTTTTAAAAAAAGGATGACTTGAAGGATATGTCTTAGATGTGTAGTTAATCTGGACCTTCTAATATATTTCACTCCCAAGTCAGATAGCCTTACATACCCCCAGCCTGTTACTGGGTCAGCTAAGCAGCAACAGGCTTCCCCTAGTGTACCACATGACATAGAACAGACTAGAATGTATCCTTTCTGTTACTAGGAAGACCCAAAAGAAGGGGACCCAGGAGAGATGGAGTTGTGCACGTCCATTTCTTCTTCCAAGCCTACTAATTGGATAAGGCATTCCTCTTCCTTGGATAAAAAATTTAGGGGGAAAGCAGGAGATCAGATATGTTGCTTCAGAAAAAGCTCCCTCATGGAATCAGGAGGCCAGGAGAAAGGAAGTTTGCCCCTAATGTTAGGAAACTCATAGAGTGAAAGATGTGAAAAATTAGGTATACCTGACCCATTGCTTCTCAGAATTTTTACCATATATTATTTAGGTAATCCTTTGCATAAAATCATTTTTTAAATATTATGAACACTTATCGTACAAAGACGAACTTAACTGTTATTCAGGAAATTAATAGAAATAAATTTTAGAGGTTAGTGTGTGAGTCTTTATGAAACAGTACCTCATTTAAAATCATCCTACACTGGAGAGAGATGTTATGTTGAAGATTTACAGAAGTTTGTTATAGTCGTGTGTTGCTCGATGACGGGACCTTCTGAGAAATGCGTGTTAGGTGATTTTGTTGTTGTCTGAACATCACACTATGTGCTCACACAAACCTCGATGGTATAGTCTGCTACACATCTAGGCTGTATGATACTAATCTTAGGGGACCACTGTCTATATGTGGTTTGTTGTTGACTGAAAGGTTGTTATGTGGTGCACGACAGTATTTACATCAGTAACTAAATTTTTATATAACTGTTGTATAGATTTGAGGGGTTTTGTTTATTTTGGCTATCGTGGTGATTAACAGGTACTCTGTGAAGAAGCCTGATATGTATTTAATCACCATTTAAATGATCTCTCAACCAAGTGACTTCCAAGCTAAATAAATATCAGTTCTTTCCACTTGTTCCTTAGGGGCCTAGTTTCTGCTTTGTTAATCGTATTTGTCACTATTTACTACATTCTTGACACTACTTTTAAAAAGTGAATGCAGGGGCCAGTTCAGTAGCACAGTGGTTAAGTTCACGTGCTCTACTTCGGTGGCGTGGGATTTGTGGGTTTGGATCCCAGGCACGGACCTGCACACTGCTCATCAACCCATGCTGTGGCGACGTCCCACATACAAAATAGAGGAAGATTGGCACATATGTTAGCTGAGGGCCAGTCTTCCTCAAGCAAAAAGAGGAGGATTGGCAACTGATGTTAGCTCGGGGCTAATTTTCCTCACCAAAAAAAAGAGAAAAAAGAGAAATCCAATTTTATGAGAGAGAAGGCATCAAAAAGATAACAGCATTATACCTCAAGTAGAAAAAAATAGATTTTTCTCCTTGCTGTATCACAAACTTTTGAGAAGTTAATGATAGCTATTGATGTATGAAAGTAATTTTTAATGAGAGAAGAATACAAGTTAGAATTTCTACATAGGATTTTCAGGCTACTCTTTAGAGTCACTTTATGGAATGAGAGACATCACTGGTGGGACTGGCTTGCTTATGTGCATATTGTGGAGAAAGTACCTGAACTGAGGAGAACTTCTGTAGGACCTTGTTACTCTAAATGTGATCCATGAACCAGCAGTAAAGGTGTCACTTTGAAGCTCATTAAAAATGCGGAGTTTCAGTTCATGTCCAGGCCTGGTGAATAAGAATCTTCATTTTGACAACATTCCAGTTGATTCATATGCATCTTAAAATTCAAGAAGCACTGATGTCACGTTACTTAGTGTGATTTCCCTTTGTTCGGCAATCCTGTCTGCTCTGTTCCCTGCTGTCATCCCCCAGAGTATCCTCTGCTCATGGTGAGCTCTGGTCATGGCTTAAAACTTTCACTTCCAAGTGCTCTCATTCTGACAAAATACCCTTTTTAATCTTTGTCCCATGAAACTAAGCAGTGCATCAGTTTCTCCCAATTCTTCAACTGTATCATCTTGTTCTGCCTTCACTCCCTGGCCTGGACGTGCTTGGAACAGTGCAGTGCTGCCCTTCTATAATTCCTTACTCGTTTGTTCTTCCACCCATTACCAGATCCCAGCACTGTGCCGTCTCTGGTTGGTGTTATTAACTGTCTGTCTTACTAAAACTATTGTGGAATTGTGCTAGTGCTATGTTTGCCACCTTTTCACTGCAGTTCACCATAATTTTACTTATTACCACTCAATTCAATATGCTTCCTTTAGTGACTATTTCAAACCTTTTCTACTCTTCACTTATCCAGATTTCATCCTCACTCCCCTCACTTCACAGATTCTCTCTTGTCTTAGGGAGATTGAGACCGTAAGATATGAACTCTGTAAGTTTTCTCCTTTCTGCCTTAGATTTGTGTGTCTTTCCCTCACCTTTATTGTTATCTATGAAGGAGAATACCCTTTTTTTGCCCTTTATCTGTGTTATTGTTTCATCAGTTATCTCTTTCCTTACTTGTATCTGATTTTTTTTCCTCTTTATTATTTTACTGTTCTTCCCCAAACAGACATGCTTATGAGTTCCCTAAACTAAAAATGATTTAACTTTTCCCAGACTCTGGCCCTCCCCATCCTATTATCTTTTCTCTTACCACCATACTGGAAAAGGTGGGTTACCCTGCCCTGTGCTCTTTACTTCCTGTGTATTATTCACTCTTTAACCTAATAGTTCTCAGTTGAAGATACAGTTGACTTTCAGTATCCATGGATTCCTCATCTGCAGATTCAACCAACCGCAGATTCAGCCATTCCTGGATCAAAAGACCTGTGATGGTTGTGTCTGTACTGAACATGTAGCGACTTTTTTCCTTGTCATTATTTCCTACACGATACAATATAACAACTATTTACATAATATTTGCATTGTGTTACATATTAGAAGTAATCTAGAGATGCTTTAAAGAATATGGGGGATGTGTATATATTATAAGCAAATACTGTGCCATTTTATGTAAGGGACTTGGGCATCTGCAGATTTTGGTATCTGCAGGGGTTCTGGAACCAATCCCCCTGGGGATACCGAGGGATGACTGTATGTAATTATAATCACTTGTGAGGCTAAAATCAAATAAGAAGCTGCCGAGGCCCTTTTTAAGACCTTCTGAATTAGGGTCTCAGGTTTCTCTGATAAATATCTCCCAAAGTACTTCTTAAATGTGCAGATTATCAGACTTCTCCCCTGGAAATTTTGATTCAGGAGATCTGAAATTGATTCAGAAATTTGTGTTTTTAGCGAGAGCTCCAGTACTTGACTAAATAAAAATCCTAGAGTGTAGGACCTGGGCCTGTGTTTTTTTTGCTGAGGAAGATTAACCCTGAGCTATCATCTGTTGCCAATCTTTTTTTGCTTGAGGAAGGTCAGCCCTGAGCTAACGTCTGTGCTAGTCTTCCTCCACTCTTTATGTGGGTTGCTGCATAGCTGACGAGTGGTATAGGTCCACACCTGGGATCTAAACCTGTGAACCTGGGCTGCCGAAGCAGAGTGTGCCGAACTTAACCACTAAACCACAGGGCAGGCCCCATGGGCCTGTGTATTTTGCGAGCTGCCCAGCAAATTGTGACGATTCGTTCTTGGGCAGTCATTGTTGTCTAACTTCCACTTACATCATACTTTTGAAACTGCTCAAAGAGTACCAGTCACCTAATTTTCAAATAAAAAATTTTAACATTTTATTGTTTTAAATGTACCAAAGTAAAGGGGTAGAATAATAAATCCATCAAGTACCCTCACTCAGCATTAATAATAATAAAGTCTAGTGACCTTTTTCAATTCTATGCTACTGTTACTTGTTTGCATCACTTGACACTGTTGATCTATCACTTATTCTTGAAACTTTGTTTTGCCAGATAATATTTTACTGTCCTGGCTTTCCTCCTGCATTGAGTGTTCCTTTTCCAACTTCTGCCCCCATGTATAGGCATTTTCATAGGGTTTTATTCTCAGCCCTTTTTTCCTCCTCCCCCCCAGGCTATCCTATTTAAGACCTTGGCTTCACTATTCACTTTCTGCTACCAGTGCACAAATCTAAATGTCTAACTTTGAACTCTCTTCTCTTTTCAGTTGCAAATTTATAGCTGCCTATTATTAGACATTTAGACATCTGAAATTCTAACTATATATAACGTATACCTGCTTTTTCCCCTTTCCCCATCCTACTTTACCTGTTCTGTTAGTGGTGTTGCTGCATCTTTTACACTTTCTTTTCCTAAGCTATTAGAGTAGCACCCTCACTAGCATTTCTGCTCTTGCTACTCCAGTTCATCCCGCACATTCCTACCTGGTTTGTCTGGAAGTATAGCACGAGCCTTACACTTCCCTGGTTAATAACACTCATTGCCTCTTCATTTCTTACTATATTAATATAGCCTTCTGATATGGTCCAGTTTTTGAGACTTTATCCAGATACATAATTCAAGTATTTAAATAAACTAAGATATTAAAATAAAATTATATTTGTGAATGTTTAATGAAGTAAAGATTTATCTACTTCTTTAAAGTAGAAGTAGGGCATGATATCTAATAGGTACCTGATTTTCATTTGAGTTTTAAAAAGTGCTTGATTTTCATTTGAGTTTTTTAAAGAGATCCTGCAACAGGAGTACATTGAATACTAGTTCAATTAGGTAGAACAGAAATCTTTGCTTCATCTGTTTTTTTCCTACCAAAACCCACATATATAAATATGTGTGTTTGTATATATATGTGTGTATATATATATATGATTTTAGAAATTCAGTTAAGAAAATGTGGACTTTAAGCATTCTAGTTTATGGAGTATAAAGTAATGACATCAGTCATTTATATACTCATGTTGGTATGAATAGGTACTCAATGAATAATAGATTTGTCATAAGTTAAAATAAAAAGCTTCAAATAGTGCTTATTTTTAATGATATAGCAAATACGAATTTCACTGATACAAAAATGAATGTGCTGATTTTCAGAACTATTTCTTCTCATGTTTTTAGGGTGAGAATCCTTTTGAAAATCAAGATCATTCTCAAGATCAACAAATAGAAGGAGATGAGGAAGAGGAAGAAAAGATTGATGAAACTATTGAAGAAGAGGAGGAGGAAGAGGAGGAAGAAGAGGAGGAAGTGGGGGAAGTAGAAGAAGTGGAGGAAGTAGAGGAAGTGGGAGAAGGTGGAGGAGTAGAGGAAGGGGGAGACATAGAGGAAGTGGGGGAAGGAGAGGCACTGGGGGAAGGAGAGGCACTGGGGGAAGGAGAGGCACTGGGGGAAGGAGAGACACTGGGGGAAGGAGAGACACTGGGGGAAGGAGAGGGAGTAGAGGAAGAAGCAGCAAAGGAAGAGCCTATCAGCTTCCCTGTCGACCAATCTGAAGAAAATTAAATATGAGGTATTAGTCAGATTTAAAAGAAGCTTTAAATTTTTGTCCTAATGTGGAAAAGGGTAAGAATTTTAATAGTTTAAAATATGAGAGTTAACACCCATGTTGCATGCATTCCACACATTAAAATTTATTTTATATAATTTCTAAATGTTTGGCATTTGTTTAATAAAATGAAGGTAAGACTATTTTAGTTTAGTTTTTATAGTTATCAAACCTAGATTCGATAAATTGTATAATTTTTAAGCTTAATTTTTATTACTTTGTTGGTGTTAAGGATAACAGATGTGTATTGTTAGTATATCTATTCTAATCATTTGAACTTAAATGCTGCTCTTGGGAGTATATATTCAAGTGTGCATTAATGTTTTGAATACTTACCCTAGAAGAGATAAATTGGGCAAGTATTTTGTGCTCTGTGTATTTTTTTACTGCATTGGACATTAAATAGTAATTTGCGTTAAGACACGCTTAAAAGCTTTTTGTGACCATGTTTCCCTTTGTAGCAATAAAATGTTTTTTAGAAAAACTCTCTCCCTGAATTAGCAATTTTAAATGAAACAGAGTTCATTAATTAAATGAGTATTTAAAATCAGGACTTGCCTTAAAGTATGAGTTCAGCTCACAAGTATTTCAAGATGATTGAGAAGACTTGAATTACAGAAAAAATTTACCTCAATCATCATATTTTTAAAAAGTATGACTAAAATATTTTTTTTAACATATTTGAAATAGAGGTAAGTCTATAACTGACCTATGTATTTTTGTTTTAATTCATTCCTTTTATCTGTGCCTGTGTCAAATCTTGAAATCTTGACAATACATTTGAATACAAATAATTTTTCATAGTTGTGTTTGTTATTTTGTCATGTCTGTGTTTGGTTAAGGACCAAGAAGCTAACTATCACCTTTTTAAAAAAAGGCTTATTTTTCCCTTGAGTATTTCTCTCCTTTTTTTTTTTTACTTTTTAAAGCTCATATGCTTGCGTCCTCAAAAAGAGAAGACAAGATTGATAGATGATCTATGTTCAAATGACTATCTATGTCACTGAAAAGCAGTGCTCTCCTTTCTTTGAATGTTTACTCTGGCCTCTTTTGAGAAGGGGACTCTTTCAGTGAAATTAGCTTCTCAAAATTCTGAGGCATTGAATGGATGAATATATGGGTACGTTAAGTAATTTTAAGGCATTAAGTGGGTGAATAGCATTTGTAGAATTTCACAGATAATTTCTTTTTTGCATACAACAAAGCTTTTAAATATAAATATATATATATATATATATATATATATATATATTATTTTTTTTGCCAATATAGGTTTATTGTTGTGGGCTATATTTGCTTATCTTTAAGCTGGGAAAACCCAGTAGGCATTTATATCCACTTTCAGGGTTTTGGAGCCAAATAATAGAAGGTTCAGTTGAAGACTGGAGAAATTTGGATCCTATCTGGGAGTCTGTAATTACTGAAATAGGCTTCAGAAAGGCTTTTTGCTCAGGAATTCAAATTTTAAGGATAATAGGACTTGATGAACCCTCTTGTTTCTTCTTTATTTTAAAATATTTGTGGAAGGGCTGAGGTAAAAGGAGAATAGATCCGTTTGGGGTAGAATTAGTGGATTCTTTTGGCACTAAGTAGGGTGCTTTCTTAAAGAGCGCACTAGTAGTTTGATTGAGATGTGAAACTTTTGGAAAGAATCCTGTTTAATCAGAGTCTGTGTAACAACTTCTAAGTAAATGTTTTAGAATGAGAGATGATGTTTCAGTCAACGTTGGAGCACATAAATGATGGTGGTCCTGTAAGGTTAGTAGCATACAGCCTAAGTTTGCAGTAGGCTGTGCCGTCTAGGTTTGTGCAAGTGCACTCTGATGTTTACACAACAAAATTGCGTAATGACCCATTTCTCAGAACCCCTGTCATTAAGCAATGCATGACTCTAGTGATTTTTGTGGGAAACATATAAAAGCTTTTATTCAGACTAGCTTATTTGCGAGGTATTAACGAAGTGTATTTTGTTATTGTGCTTAATTCAGAGATTCAGATTTATGTATATCACATTGGATAATTTGTAGATAGGCAGTTTAGTTTGCAGGCAGATTAAATTTTGTAATCCTTAGTGTTTATATTTTCAGTACTTTTGTGATAAGGATTTATGTAATATCTGTAATAACTTTTCAAGTTCTGTTATCCAAGTATTATTTGTTTTCTTTATTACAAAGCTAAGCATGTAGTTGTAATAACCAAAGAAATTTATTTACAGCCTACACAGTTGTTTAAGCCAGATGCCTAGGGACTGTCCTAAATTCTTCTCTTTTTATCACCTCCTATCTCTAGTCTATCAGAAAGTCTGTGTTTTTTATTTCTAAAATTTATCTGCCCAGTCTTCCACCTCTGCTGCTACCAGCCCAGTTCAAGTCACCATCATCTCTTTCCTGGACTGTTGAAGTAGCTTGTTAACTAATCTTGCTTCCACTCTTATACCCTGCAAGATTCAGTTTTCCACATAGAACTACAGTCTTTTAAAAATGTCATTCAGATAATGCGAGTTTCCTGCTTCTTTTTGTTCCTATACAATCCAAACTCCTTACCTTGGCAGTCAGGCCTGGCCTATCTTTCCATGTTTATGTCAGACCATTCTCACCAACCATGATGGCCTTCTGTTAGTTTTTTTAATGGAGCTCTTTCCTATCTTTACACCTTTGCATTTTTGTGTAACCTGTCAGCTTTCCTTGGAGTACTGTTCATCCTTCAGGTCACCTTAAATGTTAGAAGAGGCTTTTCTGAGGAAACATAAGGGCAGTACTTTTATTTTTGTAAAAGTGAGGATTTGGGACCACTTTACCGCAGATTTATTAGATCATATTCTTTGAAGATCGTGTATTTTTCATAAGTATCCCAGGTGATTCTGATGGTAGTGGTCAAGATTGCATTTTGAGAACATTTATAGTGCCCTCAAATTTCTGGTGCCTACAACTCCCATATCAAAACGTGGTTCTGGGGGCTGGCCTGGTGGTGTAATGGTTAAGTTTGTGTGCTCTGCTTTGGTGGCTCGGGGTTTGCAGGCTCGGATCCTGGGTGCAGACCTATGCACCACTTATTAAGCCATGCTGTGGCAGCATCCCACATACGAAATAGAGGAAGATTGGCACAGATATTAGCTCAGGGACGATCTTCCTCAAGATAAAAGAGGAAGATTGGCAACAGATCTTAGCTCAGGGCCAATCTTCATCACCAAAAAGACCCCCAAAACAAAAAAAAAAAAACCCCAAGAGCTTCTGAGGCCAGCCTGGTGGTGTAATGGTTGTTTGTGTGCTCTGCTTTGGTGGCCGGGGTTTAAGGGGTTCAAATCTAATCAAATGTGAAAGAAAACACTGTCCTTGTAGTGCTTGGATTTAAAAAGAAGTAGATCTCATCAAGATGGTGGCATAGGCAGACTCTGAACTCACCTCTTCCCACGAACACAACCAGGTTACAACTATTCCTGGAAAAATTACCCCAGAGAGAAAACTGAAAACTGGATTAAAAGAACCCCTCGCAACAAGGGACAGTCCTGACTGAGGCGGAAGATGCAGAAATTCCTTCTGGAGAGAGAAAAAGCCACCTTCATGAGTGGCAGATCTTCACACCCAGCTGGGTGGGAGCCACCCTAAAGTATACAGCCTCCCTGGAGAAGTGGGGACCTTAGCAGGGGCACATTACCACTATAAGCATCCTTCAGACTCAACACAACAGAGACGAGTGTCATACTCTCTGGTTTCACTGGCTATTAACTGCAGTGGGGAATACTGCCAGAAAAGCTATCGGATGAAAGCCAAAAAAAAACTGGGCTCTTAAAGGGCCAATATACAAATTCACCCATCTCAGAGAGCAACCAAAAATCACCAGAAAGAATGCTCCACAGTCCTTTAGTGAAAAGAGACTCACCTGGTAGGTTCTGGGTGCATCTTGGTGAGAGGTGAGACCTCTCTGGAGACTGAGACGTTGGTGGCAGTCGTTGTCACCTAGTACAGGAGTGCTGACACAGACGCTGGCAGATCCCATTGAAGTTCTTCCCCCTAGCCTGTTAGCGGGAAGAACTTCAATGGGATCTGCCAGCGTCTGTGCCCAGGGGTTTGCCATACCCACTTGAGTGCAGGTTTAATACAGTTCAGCCAGGGCAGGCAGCCTGCCCTAGGGACTGGCCACACCCAACAGCAACCCTTAGGCTACTTGTTCGCCTACATAGACTGGGTGCCCTGATCCTCTACAGGCAGGCAAGTGTGTCCACCTCTGTGGGGCATGGCCTGTGTGAGGACCAGGTGAACTGTGGGAGGGCGTTGGTGGAGAGGTGGGGGCCTCTGCAGTGGGGTGAAAGGGTACACTCCAGGGCATTGGGAAGTGTGCACAGGCCAGGACTGTGTGTGATGGTGTGTGTGGGCCTGTGGGGGGTGGGGCTTATCAGTGGCAGAAGACCTGTGCTTCACAAATAGCCACAAAGGGGATTGGCCCTACCTTCCAAAGCCTGAAACAATTGGGTGCCCCTGTGCCTAAGGCCAGCCCCACTCAGCTGTAGTCCTAAGAGAGCTGACAACAGCTTTGCAGGGCTGAGGCCTACAGCAACTGTAAGCCCCTGAACCTAACAACCAGCTACACTTAGTACCTGCTCAATTAACAGGAAGACTGCAACAGGAGTGTGCTATTAGACCTTGTAACCAATGGTGCTGGGGCTTCCCAAACCCAATTTACAAATAGCTGGCTAGGGAGTGAAAGACTAGACTCCATGGGTACCTGCAGTAAGAGCAACCCTGACACAGCAGGACACAAGTAGCCCATACAGGGGTCACTCCTGAATCATTTGGATCGGTGATGAGAGGGAAGCACAGTTCTGGGCCTTACAAGGTGTCTCTTGCATAAGGCCACTTCTCCAAGATCAGGAGACACAGCTGACTCACCTAATACATAGATATAGCACAGAGAAAGAGGCATAATGAGGAGGCAAAGCAATACATTCCAAGCAAGGGAACAGGACAAAACCCCAGAAAAAGAACTAAATGAAACAGAAGTAAACAATCTACCTGACAAAGAGTTCAAAGTTATAGGATGCTCACTGATACTGGGAGAAGACTGGATAAACACAGTGAGAACATCAACAAAGAATTGGAAAATATAAAAAAGAACTAATCAGAAATGAGGAATACAATACTGGAAATAGAAAATTCACTAGAGGGACTCAATAGCAGAGCAGATGATACAGAAGAATGGATCAGCAAGCTAGACAAAAGATTAGAGCAAATCACCCATGCTGAACAGATAAAAGAAAAAACAATTCAAAAGAATGAGAGTAGTCTGAGGGAACTCTGGGACAATATCAAGCTCACTAACATTCGTATTATAGGTGTCCCAGAAGGAAAAGAGAGAGACAAAGGGGCAGAGATCTATTTGAAGAAATAATAGCTGAAAACTTTCCTCACCTAAGGAAGAAAACAGACATCCGGGTACAGGAAGCACAGAGAGCGCCAAACAAGACAAACCCAAAGAGGCCCATGCCAAGACACATTATACTTAAAATGTCCAAAATTAAAGATAAAGAGAGAGGGGCTGGCTCCATGGCTGAGTGGTTAAGTTCGCGCGCTCTGCTGCAGCGGCCCAGGGTTCGGATCCTGGGCGTGGACATGGCACCGCTCGTCAGGCCACGTTTAGGTGGCGTCCCACATCCCACAACTAGAAGGACCTGCAACTAAGATATACAACTGTGTACGGGGGGGGGGGGGGGGGTTGGGCGAGATAAAGCAGGGAAAAGAAAAAAAAAAAGATAAAGAGAGAATCCTAAAAGTGGTAAGAGAAAGGCAACAAGTGACAT